GTAGTACGGGGCCGGAATAACCGTGTGCCCAGGACAGCCAGCCAGCGAGCCAGTCGGTCGGACACACACACAGACGTTGTCACAACAAATGCCTCGCGAATTTTATATAAATTTTAAATACAATTTGCTATTGAGCCTGCCACCTTGAAAGCGAATAAAAACAACAGAAAATGGCAAACAAAGCTTCGAACGGGCGGATATGGATTTTCCAAGAGGGGGGGGAAGGGTTAGACAGTCCGCGAATATATAACATTTTTGGGGGGAGGAAGTGGACAAACTGTCGCGTAATTGGAAATTGTGTATTGTTTTGAGAGAGGTACGAACAGCACAGATAGCCAGCAATGTTTTGTAGACTGTTTCCCTATTTTTCTTGTATAGCTCTTTTTATTTTTTTGAATGACAAAATATTTGTGTACATGTCCGTTGGAGATAAGGAAAACAGGCAGCATGGAATAGGATTAGCAATTGTAGCAAATATTGGAAATCACTATGGATATTGTGAAAGGTTTATAAAATATCAAGGATTTTAAGTGTTAAGCTGGGAAATGGGGGAATTTTCTTTGTCATGAAACAATACTTCTCATATAGGAATTTGTAATATAATAATATATTTAATATAATATATTTTTAATATATAAAACCTGAGAGTTTTAATTACCTTTAAATAGATGCCCAAAATAATGCTACAAAAAATGTACACCTACTTTGGTACCTAAAACCTATCATTGCATACTTTTAGACACATTTTAAAAGGTATAAAAACTCCCCGTTTTTAATTTATGTATTACCCTAGATAACTTTATTTGATTTTATTATTATTACAGATATAGTAGTTTCCAAAACTACACAAAATTAGTGGGTAATAACTTAGTTTTCACGTTTTAATTTCCTATATAAATTATTTGTTGATTTCTTCACCAAAATGAAAAGTCACAGAATTAAATTACATTTACCACCAGTACACAATTAACGCAATTACCTTCTGTCACCACCCACCACCCAAGCTCCTTAGCAGAGAAATCCATTTGCGGCAGACAACAGATCCTTCCCCCAACCCACTCCCAAAATCCCACGGAAATCCACTCACGCATCGTCCCGGGTCCAAGTCCCGTTTATGAACTGGATGGATAATTGAGAATGGAGAATGTAGCTGGGAAGAAACGCGTCTAATCTATTAAAAACCCGCACAAAAAAAGCGAAAACAAAAACAGCTGAGGGGGGAAAAATACAATTTTAACCAAAAACGGGACAGAAAGGACACGGACACAGACACGGTACGGATGCGGATAAGGATAAGGAAAGAGGACAGACTGCCAACTTAGTCTCGAGTGATGAATGAGCGAGTGCATTTTCCGCAGTTATACAACTTGACAACCGCAATTCGTGGGCAGGAGCGCAGATAAATTTCATAAATTAAATAGACAAACATACATACTCAGAGAGCATATTACCGGAAAATTGCTGGGGCAACCCTTCGAAAAAAAACTGCACGAAAAAAAAATTCAACCCGAAAACAGAAAATCTCATTACAATTTCAACGCGATCAGACAAAGCAGCATCAGCGGCGGAAACCCTGATGATGAAATGGATTTTTATCCCAAAACTGGACACAGCGAATCCAAGAAGTATGAAAAGGACGAATAGGGAAAAGGGAATTATGGAAAAAAAAAATCAGGAAGACCCATAACAAAATCGCTTACAATAGAAGCTAGCTTAAGATAAAGACTTGTGGATACCTATTACTTTGGCATAAAGTTGTTAAGGAAAGTTATGCGTACTTCTGTAAAAGATAATAAACTATATAAGATGCGTAACGACATAGGATTATTTTATTTTTATTGTGTTATTTGAAACCACAAATTTATCAAAACTTGTTTTTAAAGGGTATGAAAAATAAAAAAAAAAATAAGGCATCAGCAAAAGTGGAAACCATTGCTCGCTCCACCGGACAACCGACCATCACATCACCACCGCCCAACAACAAACAAGGGCATGGAGCGAAGAGGTGGTCCTCAGCGCGTAAAAAATGCAAATCCCAAGTCAAAGCTTAGCGCCGTAGTAGCCCGTACGTGGCAACCTGGCAACATACATACATACATACGTGCCACCGGCCCCACACACACACACTTGTGCATGGAAAATGGGTAAAAAATCCTACGCAGGAATGGAATTTCAAAACGTATGTCCCAGCATAATGCAACACACTCCGGCGGGGCGAGCGGGTTATCCGGGATCCGCTTGGATCTGTGAAGTGAGCTTGGGGAAAATTCAATAAAAATGAAAAAATAAAGCGCTGGAAAAAAATAAAACTTCCCTCTCTGCGTCGTCTGTCGCTGTTAGCATGGGTTTCGAATTGGAGGCCAGGGCTTGGGCTGTGTGCATGGGTTTACCAGGGGGAGAGAGAGTACTCCGGTTACCCCGAGTCTTTGGATCAATGACGAGAGTGCGTTGAAGTGTAGGGCAAACAATGGCAAAATGGTATAAGCAAATGCAAAACGAGATATTTCTTCATATGGATGGGTAAAGGGGGAACCAAAGGATATATTTGAAATCCGCATTACACTCAGTCGTTTGTGTTGTTCAACAAAATTATGTATATACTAGCAAAAGATAAGTAATACTTTGGGCAATATAAATAAATATTTTAAAAGCTAAAAGTTTAAACATAAAGAGTCTTAAGAATTAATAGAAAAAAGTAATGTTAAGCTAGATCAATCGAAGATACTGATGACAGACTTTAGCCTCATACAATATTCCCCCAAGATCTTTTTCCCATTTCTACTGCAGCCCATCAATACCGATATATCTCCTCGGAGACACTTACACCGTCCAATCCTGTCCAATTGAAATGGGCGAAAAACCTGTCGCTAGCTCTGACTTCAATGGTAAAAGTCCTCCTTTCCCACAGGATGTCCCGCAAAACCTGTCAGTTTTCATTGCCACGAAGCGCTGATTAAAAGACGCTTCCGTTGCTTCCAAACAGACGCACCAGGAGACGCATCTCCCCGCAGAGGAAGCTGGCGGATTCCTCGAATCCACGCCTTTCCTGCCAGCAGATGGCCATTAGCCTTCGCGTTGGCCCAAAGGACCTGGCCAAAGGACCAACTAAACAGACGTCAAAATCATTGCCATTACAAGGGGGCTGGGATCGGGACCTACGAGTGGGTATGGAGCTTCCGCAGCTAACAATGAAACGGCGCCCCCCCTTGTCCCTGTCACAGTGACTGTCCCTGTGCCCTGTCCAGTCCAGACCCTTCTCCTTTTGCTGGCCAGGCGTGGTGGTCAACTGTCCCGCCTTAACCCGTCAGCCACATGCCTGGCCGCGGAAAAAAAATACCAGCAAATGGAATGGCTGTTTCGGTGGGAATGTGAAAAGCGTCGCCGGTTCAAGCTCAAGTAGCTTGTGTGCCATTTTTTCTCCCCATTTTTCTTGCTGCTCGTTTTTCACGTTTTTGTTTGGGAACTTTTGCTCTATTTCCGCCATCGCCGCCGAACTTGCCTTGCCGTCTGGCTGACGTTTTAGCGCGGCTCGTTAGCGGTGCTGGATGGAGGAGGGACCAGGATGCAGGATCCTCTGGATCCGGAGGAGTTAGGTTGTCCGGGAGTGGGGGCCCATGCGGTTGTCAGTCGCTTTATGAGTCGCCTCCGCTGGTCCGTCCATGTCTTTCCTGGCCCTTTGTGTCGGCATTCTGCATGCAAAGCGAAAATGTTGTCGCGTTTAATGTCAAACGCTGATTTTTTTTTTTTGTTTGCCCGCGCAAACGTTCCAAGTACCATTGTTGGCAAATCCACACACAGACCGCCCACACAAAATATCCTCAGTCGCAGACATATTCTGGCCGATTCAACTTGGTGGCACTGTGTTGATGGATTTCTCGGCGTAAGCCTCCAATTGGTGGTCACTAGAGGGGCAAGACTTTGGCATCCATTTGAAATTATGGGATTATTTTTCTAGTAAGATTGGATATTGAGGATAACTTAATTATTTTATTATATTTACATATACTGAAGGTTAATTTATGTAAACGGAGTACATGTACTACTATGCCAATAAGTTAAATACTTTTATTACAAAAAAATAAACAAGATGCGTAACGCCATGTATTTTTAAGAGCTCTATAGCTAGCTTCAGGATCTGATATATATGTTTTTTTTTTTTAATATTATAAAAGAAAATTTGAAAATTGTTGGGAAGAAATTAAGGGTTTATTCTTTCTTGGTTATAATAAAAGAGATTAAGGGGTTATATACAGTTGTGATGATAAAAAAAATCGACTTTTTTTTATTGCATATTCTTCAAGTATATACTATTGAGAATACTCTCACAAAAATTCATAAAGATCGGAGCTTTAGAACCGAAGTTGTAGCTATTTATAGCGCACGACCTGCACGTCGGCCGGAACAAACTTGAAACTTTAAACGCGATTATCTCAGAATCGTTTTTTTTCGAAGTTACCTTTGCGGTGGACACGATAACTAAAAAAATATTAATCCGATCAACACCAAATTTTGACCACTTATTTTTTATAACAATAGCTAGTCCTCTAACGAAGAATTTTTTATTTTTTTTTAACTTTTTTTTTTTAGAGCATAAAAATACAAAATCTTATACCTTGAAAAAGTAAATTTTTTGTTAAAACCGTCGCCATTTTTTTTTTAATCAAAATTTTTACAAATCCATGGTCTAGAGGACTAGGCAATACAATATACTAACGAAATGTTTTTGAATTGTTGATTTCGGATGAACCGTTCTCGGGATATGATGTCCACCGCAAGTCACCATCGAAAAAAAGACGATCTTGGAATTCGCCCATAACATTTTTAATATTTAATATTTTTTTATGAAAAAATTTTATAAAGTACCTAGAAACACGTACTAAACAACGTCGGCAAAACATTTTTGATAAATATTTTTTATGATGTCAAAAAAAAATCGACAAAATTGCATTTTTTTTGCGCGGTACAACTGTATATAACCCCTTAAGGCCAGAGCGTGAAAATTAAGCTTATTATTTCCAAAGGGTTTTGGAATATGTTTTTGAATTGGCAAACCTTTTATTTATTTATTTTTCCATTTTAACATACTTAAAGGCTTGCATCGTTAGATTTACAATCATTTAACATGAATCAAATTGTTACTTTGTTTTCAGTTTCTCAAAGCTACCATTAATATCCGCACAAATCGGTGTGGGTCGAAGGTTTCCATGTTTGTCTACTGCAGTTAGTAGATAAGTCATTTTGTACCGACCAGGTCTCAGCGGTACATCTAAGCCATATGTAATAGACATAACAAATGGCTCAAAAGTAAGCTTAGTCTGTTAAAATGTATAATAAAAATGAGTTTGCGATTATATAACATAGGGGGCTACATGGTGTTTACAGATTTAATTAAATTTCAAATTAAAGATGTGCAAAAAGCTGATAACCCATGTAACCCCTTAAAGAATATGAAAATACTCACTCCTGCAACATTTAAACAGTTCTTTTTCGCTTCATCATAATTGAGAATATGGGAAGTGACTTGATAGAAAAAATTGTTTTTATCTATCCAAATGCTACAGAAATCGTTATACTTCATATTCAATATAGTTGGCTGCCAAAATCCACGATCAAGGTAAGTAACACCAACAGAGGCCTTAAAACATTGATATATTTTAAATATAGTTTTCTTTCATGTAAAATTATTCATATTCCACCTGAATGATATCTGTTGGTTCGTTATCCCATAGCGTAGTTAAATAGCCAGATACTTCTGTTCCGCCTTCTACGAATTTCATTGAAAAGTTTGATAAATCCAAAAGTTTGTTTATATCGGAATAACCCGGGTGCTCATCGTGACACTTGGAAAATATATTTTCCTCCTCCAATATGAATTCGTATTTCACTGTTAGAGAATATGTTACCAAGCTCAGGAGGATAACAAGTATTATTGAAACTGCGCGACACATTTTCGAATTTAGTTTAAAATAAATTTTGTGATTAAAGGGTTTTTATAGCATTTTTATTCGCACGAATTTGTAATTAATACTGTAGATATTATCAAGGCTTAAAATTAATGGTGTCTCACTGATTTTTAATAATCATAATTATTCTATTACCTGATAATAGATAATCACTGGTTTAAAACCAATAATTTGAAATTTAGATCTTTAGATCTAGATTTAGATATATATGAAACATTCATATAAAAAAGATTGAAATATACTCTCTGAAAGAACCATTCAATTTCCAATAGTTGTTGATAAGTTTTAGTATTTAGAATAATAAAAATATTCCGGAAATATATATTCGGAATTATTTTTCCTCCTTAAAAAAGTATAACAAAATCATAGCATATATGCATATATATAAAAAGTAATGGTAATATTTACGCAATCATTCGCCAGATTTTTTGTCGGTTTATCCATATTTTTAGGCTTTTTTGTGAGCTCTTCGAGGACTTGTGTTTTTTTTTTAGGGTTGCCAGAAGCTAATGCTCTCGTTTGGGTTAATCAAGGCTAGAGATTTTTTAATTTTATTTATCTTAGTCGAGTGTCGTTCGGTTGTTTGGGCTCTCATTTGGGTTATTTGTATAGCATTCCTTCTCTGCGGTCCCCCCAAAATATATTTTTCAAAACGGGACAGTTTGGCGAAATGTTTAAATATGTAAGGTACATCAGAGATATATACATATATATATATATATATATATATATACCCCCACATATGCAGAAAGTGTATATATCAACGCCGTGGCCCAACCCAGTAAAAAAAACTTTTACTTTATTATTACTTTTTTTTTTTGCGGCCACGTGTGGTGTTCGTGTGAGTATTTGCATGTGTGTCTGGTTGTGCTACGCCCTTTTCGGACAGTGCATTTTTAATATAATTTTTACAACCCCATTTCTCCAACCCAATTCCTGCCGGTACTGTCCCCCCGCAGTCGCAATTTTTTACAATTTTTTTTCGCAATTTTGTTGTTGTTCTTATTGCTCCAACTCCCTCTATCCACCCCCTTCTGTGACAGCCTTGTTTGCAGTGGGCGTGTGTATGTGTACATTTTATCCCATTTTTTTCCTCTTTTTGATTTTTTTGATATTTTTTGTGCTGTTTTTCATATGTGTCCGGGATCGGATTCTTTTGGGGGTTGCTCTCCGCCCATTGGCAACTGTCCGGTTTGCAGGTGGCCCTCCCGCTGCATATGCGGGAAATGTGAACGCGCGTTGCCTTGCTTTTATTTTTTGTTTTTTTTTTTTGTTTTATATATTAATTTCTGCATTTGTGGTGGGAGGTGAGGGGTATGTAATAAGCAGGCAACGTTGTCACGCATTGAGGAAGAGAGGAGTGTTGGAGAAGAGGAAGGTGTTTACTGTAAGCCGGAAAAAAATAATCTTTCGCCGCATAAGCAAAAAGTATTTTAATGAATTTTTATAGCGGACGGAAGGATGGTTGGTATTGTTTTTTAGTGTTTTTTAATTAATTAAAAATATAAATTAAAAATTGCATAATATTGTAATTGAAAAGGAGAAGGGGGAAAAGAAGAATAAGAGCTCAAGCAGACACTGAGAGGGGGAGAAGGAGATTGCAGGCTAAAAATGGGAGATAATTTGGCTGTAAGCAGTTGAAATTTTGGAATAAAACTGTTTGTTTTCAGAAAAATTTGTTAAAGAAAATGAAATATAGAAAGATACCCTATACAGTATCGTACTTTTATTATGCATCGCATATCTATACACTATCTTATGCCTATAATTAAATTACATAAAATAAATTATAACATAAATTTGTTTTGTTGAATTCGGTGCTCAAAACTAGACAAACTCACAGTTTCCCACATATTTAAACCCTTGATTTAAATATTTTATTATATTTTCAAATAAATACAACCTGCAATCCTGCAGATGTCCTATCTATAATCCTTACTTTCTTCCCCACAATAAGTATTACAAAACCTACCAGTCCTTTTTCTTATAATCTACAAATTCTTTACAATTTTTTCCCGTGCACTTCCCCTCCTTAAAAGGTAACCCAATTCACCTTACGACCTTCAACTGGGCCTGACCACAAAGAAGGGCTGCTCCCTACTGGGACAAACGAGCTGCTCAAACAACTCAGGCACCTTGGAAGGTCGCGGCTTGAGTCCGTCGGGCAGGAACATGCTGTTCCAGAGCAAGTTCGCCAGGATCGCATGTCCACGCTGGCTAAAGTGGAAGCAGTCGTGCGAGAAGAGCCGCCAGTCAGTGCCGCCGCCGGGCAACTTGGGAGCCTTGATATTCGCCACCAGTGGATGAGCCACAATGGCAAAGTCGTCCCGATGGAACTCGGGCAGGCGAGCCACCTCCAAATCCAGCTGCTGCCAACGTAGCAGGGTCTCTTGGCGCTCCCGCAGCTGGGTGCTGTTCAAACGATCGTCGACCAGGCAATGACAGCCGATGCGATGCACCACAAAGCACTGGAACGGCAACTGGGTCATACTGGACAGCACGGCCTGAATGTTGGGGACCACTATCAGGTTGATCAGCAGGCGAGGCACATTGTCTCTTAGCAATCGAAAGGCCTGACGCATATCGGCAGCATGCTGTTCCAGAAACGACTCCGGCTTATCCCAGTGACACAGATCCGAGCAGACATCGTTGTTGCCCACATACACTGTCAGCAGCTTCCAGTGGCGCTTCATGTCCACATTGGGATCACGGCGCAACAGGTCGATAAAGACACGGGCCTGGAAGGGCAGGTCACGCGACATGACCATCGGCTCGGCAATGTTCAAACGGGAGTGACGATGATTTACCACCAAACTATTGCTCACCGAGAAGCCATATAGCTTGGGGTTAAAGACCTTCAGGATGTTGGGCAAGGTCACGAAGCGTCGCCAGTCGGCCATGCCGCCTCCAGAGAAGGTGAGGCCCCGAAATTCATTGATCATATCGATGGCATTGTTGGAAAGGATACCATTTCCAGCTGAGAGTGAGTCTCCGAAGGCAGCTATAATGTCTATATCGCCGGGACGTAGTTGCTCGATCGAGGTGGGTGGGTTCAAAGAACGTGTGTTGTTTGTGGGGCAGGGAAAGGGCACCTTCTTGGATACTCGCTCCTGGATTTTTCCCTCGCGTCGCCCACGGTTGCGTAGGGCATCAATGTGGCCCAGGGCCCAGTCCAGGGTGATTTGCCTGGTGCCCAGAAAGAGATGACGCAGGTTGCGATCGATATAAGTATACTGCTGGATGCCGTTCTCCAAAGCCCTTGGATTCCAGGACTGAGGATGCACTCCTATGTCAGCAAGCAGCTTATCAGAGCGATTCTGCCGACGAATGCGACGATTTCCAGAGGCAAATAGCACCATTAAGCACAGGCAGAGGAGCTGGGTTAGATTAGCCATTTTGGATGATTCTTTAACTCCAAAAATCAAGTCATTTAACACTCTGATAGTCCTTTAATTTATTTCCGTTTGGTTATCACTTTGGCTAGCTCACGATCGCCGAACTTCTGAACGCGTTCTCAGCCGACAGGCGAATGCGTCGAGCGTTTTTAATGCCCGTCACAAACACCATATATGAACTGCTTTTGCCTCGAGCAATTATGGGCCGGATTCACTCATAGCCCGACAACGGCTCACAACTCGCACTCCAACTCATTTCTTTCCATTAAAGCCAGAAACAACAACCACACGCGATCGTTGCTGCCCAGAACTTGACTTAAAAGCGTTGACCGAGACATTACCCATCATAAAAATGACAGAGCGGCCTGATAGCAGCACCAGCCTCTGGTGTAAAATAAAATACGAAAAAAATATATATAAATAAAAACACACGCACTACCAAGTGCCCTGGGTTCAAAGATGTTTTGGCAACGAAACAAGAAACCCTAAACAATATACAGAATACAGTTTAGTCGGCGACATAATTACCTTGTGGCTAAAAACATGCCACATTTGTTTTTCAGACTAATAAAACAATAAATATACAAATAATTGGAGTCAGAGTCTGGCTTAATCAGGGGCGTAGACTTTGATATAGGGGGTCGCAAACCCTTCTAGGTCATTCGGTCATAGCTTTTGGGGATTTATTTTTTGTAAACCCAACAAGAAAGCACTTAAGAATTTGTCACCTTTAGGCTTTATCAGAGTATAATTAGTCATCCAGAGTTGGTGGTTCCCAGACAGACTTTATATTACTTCATAAAAATATTTAATTTGTTTGTAAATCTGGCGTGTGACTACCTTAAAAAAAAACTAATGGTGTCTAGCCTTTGATAGTGTGCATAAACCTTTAATGAGAGTTTATTTTTTAAGTAAACAACTTGGGTTTTTACATAATTAAATACCTAATGTGATTCTTAAAGCTTAGTTTAATATTGACTTAAAATTGATTTAGTATTTAAAGTTCTGTCTAAAGTCAAACCCCCACACCCTGTACGCCTCTGTCTAAAATCGTAGTTTGTATAGCTAGCTCTTAGATGTCGATCTCCCCTTTTTCATGCTTGATTTCAAACAACTACGAGCACAAAAAGATCTCCAAATATTTGCACATTAAGCTTAAGTAAGTTTGTAATGTAATTGTTGCTCAAACGCTTGAAATGTTAATAGCTAATTGTTTGCTTAGATCTCCCGCCAAGAGTCTCTTGAGACTCTTGAGTGCTATGCGAAAAACACATCCGTTTTTGTCGAACTTGATAGCGGTTATTGCCCACACGGCGGAGATAATTGAAATAAAATATTATAAAGTAAAGTGATCTATAAATATATATATATATGGAGCTGACTCACGTCGGGTCTTGTTTTATTTTTACTTATTTTGTATTTATATATTTTTTTTGAGGCGTGTCGTCTGAAGGCTGTAAAGCCAGCCTGCGGCCATATACTGCGGACAGAGGGGCCTGAACGTGTTGGAATTTTACGCTGCAAGACTGATCAACTTCCGCTCGATCTCCCCCCGGGTTCCACTTAACGGCTTCTGGGAAGCTGTTCCCAGATTGTTGGGGCAGATCAAGATCAAGGATGGGCGTGGAGATCGATCTTGAAGGTACTTTAAACTGTTCCGCCTTCTCAAGAGGTGGAAAATTAAATAGGTTCTGAAGATTGAATGTTTTTCGTAGGTTTTTTATTTAAAATCGAGCAACTAATAGGGTCTTTAAAGGTAGATATGAAGGGATATTTATAGACCAGTTAAAGTTAGACACTTAATAAAGACTTTTTTGCTGATTCACGAGTCAGGTCTTTGGGCATCACTTATTTATACCAATCACCTTTCTTCAAGTTATTTTATTCTATATTATTTTGTTTATTATTTAAACCTCTGCACATTTTCTTATTTATGAAATGTGTAATTGTTAATTGTTTACCTTAATTTGCAATTAGCTATATGAACTTTAAACCCACACTGAGAACCAAAATGTTTGGGTTCATTTGAAATCTCGATATGAGAGCTGAAGCTTCAAATGTTACCTTTAAACCGGGAAGTCAGTCTAATACTTCCGCTGCCAAAGACTAAAAACCTTTATGTTTACACAAAACTTTAAAATGTGTGTCTAGCTTGTACTAACTTTAGCAAACACTTCTAAGCTGTGTTTAGTTTTTGTAGAAATGTTTTAACAGTTATATTTGTGAGAGGAGTTGAATTTTTAGTTAGTTAGTTCATTTATTAATATTGATGTCATAGTTTAGTTAAAACTTCTAAATGGATTTATGGGAATTAGTATTCAGAGTCAACTAATAATTTTATTTATATTTTATAATTGAAAACTAAAACTAAAATAATTTATATAATATTTTTAAACAATTAAAAACTTTTAACTTAAACTTAACATCTTCAAAAGTTCACCAGGAACTGATATGGAATTGATTTTTGCAAAGTAATTCCACCTTTAAAGTTGATTTCTACTCGTTAGTATTAGTTAGTAATAAACTTGTGCAACTAGTTAGGCGAAAACAATTAGCACCGTTAAATACCATATTGGAATTTTATAATGAATCAATTTAGAATACATTAAAAGAGACAGACGCTTCTAAGAAATACTATCCATATTCAATTGCTCTTCAATTAAAATTATAGTTTATGTAAGCATTCAAAGATCTCTGACCTGAATGGTACTGGTACTTAGTAGTTTAATAGCTCTGAAAGCCCTTAGACTAAATTTCATTCGGACATTCCTGATCCCCCTTTTTTTTATGACAAATGAATCTCAATTAGATAAATACTACTCGGTTGGAGCTGCTCCGTTGCTCTGCCCTGTCTACGATGTCGATCAAAATGCCGCAGCTTCATTTCATTTAAACTAATTGAGGCTCATTAAGTGTTGCCAGGCGAAGTTGTTTTCGTTTGCTGTTTCAGCAACATTTCGCAGCTACATTGTTGCTCAGCTTTTTTTCCCCCCAGTTTAAAATGGATTTTATGCTAATTGAGACTAATTTGTAAACAAGATGATATTGCTGGCTGGGAGCTTCTGTTGGGCTTATCCGTGTTTACGGAAAAAATCAACAACGTTTTTGGGCCAGATTACGTTCGGTTAAGAGAGTTTATTTTGATAAGAGCTTTTTAAAGAGCGGCTTGCAGGCAGCAAAAGCTTGAGTTAAAAATATTTAATTAAGTTTTAAAAGAGCTTTCAAAGGTTGCCAGATTATTAAAGTAAATTTTAAACTTTTGAAATCTAAAAAAAAAGTAAATGATATATTAATATCAATCATTTGTCATGTTTTTTTTTCACAAAAACCTTTAAAAACTCTTTATATATTCCCTCTTTTTTTGGAAATGAAACCCAGTTCCCAGCCAAAGACACCAGGCACAACCTTGAACCACACAAATGTCTACCATAAAGTATTTTCGAAATTGTACCTGTACAACAACAGTTTGTCATTGTTGAAAGCCTGAATGGCTCACTATTATCCATTTATTTAGCAACGCTTTTTTAATTGTAGCTTAATTATTGTAATACCCGATTTATATCGCTGGCAATTAAAAGAGTGTCGGCTTATCTAAGGGAATTATTTAATTGTTATTCTTTGGTTTACCATTGTCTTGTTTTTAACGGCAAATTCTGTTGGTTAAGGTGGAACGTAATTATTATTTATTTGCTTAAATAATGCAGTTAATTGATATACCTCGATGGGCACTATGAATTCATGAATATTACAAAACTCTTTAACCTCGCTGCAATTGCAAAGAGAGCTTTTGCAGAGAGCAATATGGAAATGGGATCAGAGAGCTAGAGAGCATTGGGAATTTTAAGAGAAGCAAGTTAACTTGCATTTTCATATTGCAGGAAAATGTTTTTGTATAAAACAACCTAATCAGTAAATACTATTAACTAGAAACTACACTGTAAAATAAATATATTTTTATAGTAAAAAAAGAGGATATAGTATTACCAATTTGTGTTGAATGTTTTCGAGAAAAAAAAAGTATTTTGAAAATTAAAAATTTAAAAAAATTTAAGATATTTAAGAGTAAGTATATTAAGCGATTTTATTAATTTAAAAATATTTTTATTGTATTAGAGAAGAATCTCGAATATATAAAAAGCCTTAAAATCGCAATAAAGAGAAAAATCCTTCTAAAAAATATTCTCTAAATTGAATACTCGTCACATTCTGTTTCAGAAAATAATTTAACTCTAGAAAGGGAATATTCAAAAGACCCTAAGCTGATATTCAGTAACGACAGAGGGACGGGGAACTAGTTAACAATTGCACAATCAACAATAATAACAAAGTTTGCGACATTTTTGTTCGGTTCGGCGTTTAAGCTGAAAAATTACAAGTCGGGGGCTAAACGTTGCCATTTGCCCGCCCTGATCAATAACCCGATCGAGCGAAGAGCGAAAAGAGGGAACACTGATGGCAGGTGAGTGAGCGGGCGAGCAGGTGAGCTGGTGAGCTTGAGAGCAGGTGAGCATCTCAGCAGTGGCGCGTTCAACACACCCTAAGTGGGTTAATTTGTCGGCTGACCGACTGCCTCTCTGTGATAACAAACCTCTGCACGACCACGGCGGGCCAACTGCAGAGCCACCAAAAAATATACCAGACACTGAGAGAAATTACTCTTTAAAATGTATATTTATATTATTTATTATTTAAATTTAATATTTATATAAAATAAAATTCTAGAAAAATTGTATAACTCCAATTGAAGAAGAAATCTTAATTACCAGAATATTTTAAAATATTTAAAGCCCAAAGATACACAATATATGAATAGCGCTGTCCAAAATATTTACAATGAGGTGCCCAGAAATTCCCAAGTCTGGATTCTGAGACTACGACAGTGTATGATATGAACTAATGAAAGGAATTCTATCATAATTAAACCGGTTCTATAGAAACCTTGCTATAATGATCTATGTGTGATCTTAGCAGTTTTATAGTCTTAAATTAGGAATAAGAAGTCAAAGTCTAGAGTACAGTTAAAGCCATTTGCAATGAGAAATGAACTAGTCCTTAAAATATTAATTTTTTAGTACGTAAGTTAATTACTTTGTCTATGTATTTTTCTTTATTTAATTATCACAATTTCAAAAAGCACTAAATCCACATTATATTTTATATATTTAAATTTAATTCTAAAAAAATTATAAAGATAAATTATAAGCAAATTAAAGGGCATATCTAAGGGCTTCGTTTTTCCCAGTGTGGCCCCTCCAGGCAAAGAGCGAGTGCCAAGCGCGCTTGCGCAGTCGCCGCCGCCGCAGCCAAAGTCGAAGCCGCAGCTTCAAGGTCGCCTATTGTAAAAGAAAGCGCCAGCGCATGGCCTTGAACACGACAAAAAAATAAATATGTTAAAAGGCAATGGCTGGGGACTAGAGGACGGAGCATGCGCCAGATAAGAGCCGAGATGAGTCGGGATGAGGAGGAGACTTGAACTTCGAATTGCTCTCTTTTGTTTCGCATGGAAACGAATGTTTCAAATGTGAGCAAACAAGCCAGTTTTGAGTGCCATAAAGTTTATGCTTGAGTAAGACAATGGACAAAGCCCAGTGCTTCGAACCAATTTATACTCCTCTATACTTGTTACTAGTATTTGTTGTCTTGTTTTTTGCGAACTTGTGCAAGAGAGCGAAGCAGCCAGAAAGCGAAAAGCAGCATCTCGAAAAGCCAAACTGTGATAAATTGGGGTTAAATGGTTAGCAAATGGGTTAATTGTATGTAGATTGAATCGAAAAAGTGAGGAAATTGCTTGCGAATTGGCCAAATGGAGTGTTACATTTCGATAAGCAGAAGGGATATGGTAAAAATGAATGAATGATTAATAAATAGATGCCAATATTGTAAAAAAATAATTCATAATTTACACAAGTTTATAAGATATAATAAAATAAGCTACATCTTTTCTATTTCTATATATTATATTAACCTTTGCTTGAAGCTTTGAATTGCTTTCCAAGTAAATAATATTCTGAACTTTGTTATTTTCTGCTTGTGTTTCTAAGTCACTTAGCTTTTATGATCAGCCATTATTATTTTTGCGAGACAACTTAAAAGTACTTTTACATTAGGCAAAAATTAATTAGCTTCAAACTTGGCATATGTCTATTATGAAACTCTCTCATTTTCAATTTCGTTAGAACAGAGTTTATTGGACTTTTATGGACTTCACTTGTCCAAAGGTTGGGGCGGATACGTAATAAACATTATAATTTAGTTTAATGAATCTTCGTGAGAAATATGCAGACGTTAATATATAAATTTATACACCAATTAACATGTTAATGACAGAGAATATACAACTATTTGAAGCTGAACACAAATCTTGATAAGATAACATGCAATGATAATTCGAAAACACGGCATTTATATATGGAACAAGGAAATGGACTGCAAATATTTTGTACTCTGATTTAAATTCATAGATTTTTGCTATATTTCAATATATAAAATTATAGAACTGAGAATATACAAGGGGACTCTGGTCAATTAAACCAAATATACCATTTTTAATGCGCAATTACTTGACTTATTTAAAATTGAACTCACCGCAGAATAATAATTGTTATAAAAGTCTGGTTTCCAAGCAATGATTACATACCTGCAAATAAGTAGAAAAGAGTAATTAGATTTGTCTAGAGTCAACTGATAGTTGATCAGATTGTAGTTATAAACTATAAACCACTTTGAATAATTAACTAAAACAGGTAATAGAACTAAAACCTTTGGCACACGTTAGGAAAACGAAAGTCATCAACAATAAGTATGGGAATTTTCAAGCAGATAATTTTCCAAGTGACTTTTATGAACCAAAAAGTGAGAGGTTTAAATCCTTTGCACTTATATAATTTTCATCTCCAGACTCTATTTCTTAATATATAAAAATAAATTCCTTTGTATATATTTAAAACAGCCGGCAAACAGGCAGACAAAAAATCCACCAGACACAAAAAACGTATAGCCAGAAAAAAGTGCTGTGTTGTGCTGCATTAATAATTTTATTTCAAGCAATCTATCTTCATTTTTTCATACACTTATTTGCCAAGGAAGCGGCAAAAAACAAATTCGCATACATTTAAACTTTTTTTTTTATTGTAAAATATTTCTGTACCGCCTCAAAAGCGTCGCTGCCGCCGCCAAAAGCTAAGAGCTGAGCGGACTTGGGATTGGGTTGGAGCTTGCGAGTACGCGATCTGGCACTTGCTGGGCTCAGTCGACAAACGGAGCTCGCAAGCGACACTTGGGGCCAGCGGAGAGATACAGCCGAGAGCGCGAGAGACCGCCGAAAAGAAAAACGGAAAAAGCCACTCTTCAAAATCGGCGAAAAGCAAAGAAAAACGAAACAGCAGCAGGTCACAACAAAAATTGCAACACCGAAAGCGCGCGTGCGCAACACGATAAGCTAGGAAAAATCGAGGAAAAATCACTAGCTGAATACGGTACGGTTGAGTTTAAAAAAATATGTAAAAATCAAAGTTTGAAATGAAAAAGTGCCTGTGAGAATCTATATGTATAACAGTTTCCGCATTTCTTGTGAACTATTAAAAAAAAAACATTAAATCGGTTTTCATTTTACCCATTTTATGCCACGAAAATACACGAAAAAAGGAAAACGAAAGACTTAAGACACAAACTTGAGCGGACTGCCGCCAAGCATGACCACATGTGTATTATGCTACAAGTGTGCGTGAATTTCGGGTTGTGTTTTTAAAATTAATATTCAAGAAAATCAAAGTTTAAAAAAAGAAGCTTTTTAGCCACAAAAAATATGATGAAAAGTGTGACAAATAAAATAATTACAATCCCCCAACCGGCAGTCAACATTATTTCTATATTTTCATGTTTTGTTAGCTTTTTTTCCTCTTCAAAAAAAAAAAAAATGATGTGTGTAAAAAACATATATGACTGAACAAGACCTGAAGACAAGAGCCGCTGTCTCCCAGTCGAACTGAGGTTAAGCAATGCAAAATATTGCAACAGTTTCCCTCCATTTTATCTCTTTTTTTGTGTCTGTCTCTCAATGATTTCTGCTTATTTTTTTGGTATCTACTAGTGGGAGTTGGGAAAGCGAAATCAAATTGATTTAGCCAGGTGCATTGGTAAGACTCGGAGTTGCATCTTACTACTATATATATTTATTAGTGTGCATTTATTTCCTCTCTGTTTCGCTTTACATAACTCACTTATTTTTCACACTCCTAACATTGGCACAATAATATCCCACAAATGGCTAATATTATCCAATGACCGGAGACAAAGTTGGTTACAAAAAGTACTCTGTGACACACAAAACTGCAATGGGAGAGAGATATATAGAGGTAAAAGCAAAGCCCGCTTAACTGTCTGTCTATAAACACAACGACTAGGACAAGGCGTATGTATAATGAAAAGTACAAAAATAATAATCAAGCGCGTGCAATGAGCTAACGAAAATTGGCAAAAACAAAAAACATAAAATGACTTGGACAAGACGAGTTATGCTTAATCATTTACAAAGTGTCATAAAAAATATATAATGTTGAGATCTTAACTTTATCATTAGTTTGTTGATAATGTTCATAAGATTTCCTTTGGAAACAGTTGCTTGTCTTTATGGAAACTGAGTTGAATTGAACTCTGGAAAATCTAGAATATATAGGTTTTCGAAACTGATATTAAACCCGATCGAAAACGTTAACTTCCGACTCTGTCCCAGAGTGAATGATGTAAACACAGTCCACATAAACTGAGGCAGACAGCTGTTGCTGCTGCTGCTGCTGCTGTTGTTGCTGCTGCTGCTGCCGTTGCCGTTGCCGTTGCAGTTTGACCGAAATGATTGTTGTGGCATTATATAAGAAGTGGCCATGCCACAAAAACGATGAAGGAGAAAGAAGAAAACCGAACAAGAGTCGGCGGCAAATGAGAAGGAAGCAGTTGGCAGCCTGGCGACTCGACCAGCTACCAACTAACCAAACTCTCTCATGGCTGCTGCTCTTGTAGATGCAACATGTTGCACGATCTAAATACCCACTAACGGCTAGCGATGAGCGATCGGTTTGGATCTTGGTGTTGCCTAGTTTATTGGCCTCTTGAACAAGCCGTAAAACTGCATCCAAGGCAATGGCAAAACTTGTTGTCCATTTGGCACCCAAAGGGGCGGGTCTCCGGGTGTTGGTTATAATAATTTACCCCATTGGCCATGCTTGCCGGCGGTGTTCTTGGCGCTGAGAAAGCAATTTGGGGGTCTGTCGCTCTTTTCTAAGCGGCTCATGGTCATCGTCACTGCGGGTCTCAATTGCAAACATTGCAAAACATTGGCAAATAAACTGCGACTGCACAACATACCTGAGGGCAGTGGTGTGGCGACGCCAACAAGACATCGATAAACCATTAAGCCACTGATTTTTGGTACCGCTCGCAATTGAGTTACAACGTCAGCAGCGGTTCCCCCGTTAACCAGTTGGCAACCTTGATGCTTGTTGTTTCGCCGCTTCTCGGTTTATTTTATTATCTTTGTTTTTTTTTGTGTTTTGTTAATCATTTTGGGTTTTTTTCATATCTTTTATGGCAGGTGTTGGCCGCGGGAATCGACTAAGATATGGTCCAATATCTGCAAAGGGGATTTTTCATGCTAATCGCAGGGTTTTGTTTTATTTTTTTATTATTTATAAATTTTGAAAAATATATTGAGCGTTTTAAAAATTTTATTTATTATAAATTAGTATTTAATATAAATATAAATAAAAGGCGGGGTTTTATTTCCAGATTGAAAACTCTTTGGTAACCTTTAGTAACCCCATCTAATAAAATTCGGACTTGGGAATTATAGTGCTTTTTCTTATGCTTTTAAAATAGAATTTAGCATAAATCCATTTTAAGCTACGAAATTTTGACCAGAATTTAGAATACATAAGATTGTTTTGATATCAGTAGGAATAAAATTATCGTAGAACGACTTTAAAAAGATGCCAAATGTTTAGGCAGCTTTCTTTCCTGTTTTCAATATAAGATTTTTTCTTATATTTGTTTCAAATGTAAGGAAAATATATTTTAACAACTGAAGTATTTATTTAGCAATTGTAAATATTTAAAAAGTTTTCCCATGCAAATATTTATGTTTTAAAAATGGCCAAAGCTAACGAGGTCTTACTGGGTCAAAGGTCTTTAATTATACACAACCTGTGCCACAGTTGTTTACGCCTGTCGTTCGACTCGGCCCGAAAAAAAAGTGTAAAAAAAAAATACAGAAAAAATAACATGCTGAAATTGTTGTCCTTTGCGTCATCTGCTGCAATGTTAAGCAAACAACAATGAAAACCCAGCAACAACCTCAAAAACAAGGCATCAAGTTATGACCACGACTGTGTGTTACTAACCTTACTCAATTTAATTTTTGGGTAAGCGTTTATTTTTATTTTTTTTTCTTTTTTGGGCTTTACTTTCGAACGCTTTATGGGCGCTTTTTGTTTGAGTTTATTTTTTATTGTTGTTCCTCCGGCGCATTGGATTATGTATATATGATATATGCCAAGATATAGATACAAGATACATAAGCGAGAGAGATAAATAGATGCGATTGCAGTGAAGTAACTAGTTTATTTTTGGCTCTAGACTAAAACATGAGTTGGCACTCTAAGTGGGTCAAAGTCTGATTAGCAAGGTCACATGCTACACACGTTTATAGGTGTATATATTTGCGAAAGGAATTTCTAGTCTCTTGAGAAAGAAATAAACCGGTAATAAAATATAATTAACATTTCCTAATAACAGACTTTGACAGAACTCATTTAAATGATTATTACCGAGTGCTGCCCCTTTCTTCTCTCCCCTGAGTTTTGTAGAATTTAAAATTCTGGTATAATTAGTGGAATTTCCTTAATTTAAAAAGAGGTCACAGCAGTGCGTTAAATTAATAAATTTAAGTTTCTACTGAAAACGGAGAATAATTAGATTCTTCTCACGGTTTTTTTCCTTGTCACCAAACTGTCGTGCGAGATACATTTTACCCCATTACCCCTTTCTCGTTTCATATTTACTTTTGTGCTTTTACAGTCCAGTTTGCAGAGCATTTGCTTATTCTGAATGCTTTTGTACTGACGCTGATCCGCAGGTGTATGTATATATAGTATACGATTGTTATTCAAGACGTTTTCTGTGACTCTTCATCTGCGGGGTTTCGTTCCGTGTTCTCGGCGCCTTGTGACTTGCCCAGATTAGCTTGAGTGCGAGACTCTTTTTCCCTTATTTACTCAATTTTTAGCGCAATATCTGTCAAGTCAGACATTTTCATCATCAAGCACCTGTCAATGTGAATGCAGTTAAAACGTAGCAATAAATTTTCCAAGTAATTTATGTTTGTTTTCTTTTGTTAACTTGATTGAGACTTTGTTTTATGACTCAGAGTTTTTAAATTTTAAATTTCTTATTAGTCCCATTGAGTAATAATCACTTGTTTGCAAGTTAAAATATATTTTAAGGCACGTTATATTTGGAGAGGCCATTGAACCACAATTCCTAGGCTTAGTTGGCTTAGAGAATTCACAGATTTTGTTTCATCTTCAGTGAAGCGCCAAGTTGGCTAATTAGCAAGTACTTAGAATACATATAGCAAACCCGAAATAAATTATGGACCGCACAAGTGCTTTGAGAGCCTCGGCACGTGTGTGTCATAAAGGCAGGCGAATCAATAAAATACATAAAACCAAATCGAGAAAATGCGGTTTGTTGACGCAAATGATTTTTGATAATCCTAGTAGCGTAGGCAGATAAATAGATAGAAAAAAAAGGGGGGTATACATTGTGTTCAATTGTACGTTAATTATAAAACGAGTTTGTCTTGATATTAAAAAGGGAATTTGCATTTATGGCTCTTGGGAATTGTATGGTAACAATCTTTGAACCTGTCTCATTGCAAGTCTCTCTTAATGACTCAAACTGTTGATTGTGTTCAATTATATAGCCAAGTCTATCTAGCCCTGGTTGACATTTAATTTATGCAAGAACGTTTCTATAATTATTTCTCCAGCTCACAACTCAAGATGGCGGCCGTTGAAGTGAGGAATGGCTATAAGTACTATGGCTCCAAATCGAATCCCAAGATTGTGCTCAACCAGCTGAATATGAACGTGATGCGTGGCTCCATGTGAGTGGCATTCGAAATGAGAGTGTTTGCCAGTCTTCGGACTCTACAACTTTCTTCTGTCCCCTTCTTCCCCCTTTTCAGTTACGGCCTGCTTGGCGCTTCTGGCTGTGGCAAGACCACCCTACTCTCCTGCATTGTTGGCCAAAGGTGTCTCAATGGTGGCGAAGTCTCTGTTTTGGGCGTGAAACCAGGAGAGCCTGGCAGCGGTGTTCCTGGCTCTCGGGTGGGTTTCATGCCACAGGAGATAGCTCTTGTGGAGGAGATGACTGTCAAGGAGACCATCTTCTACTTTGGCCGCATCTATGGCCTGGATGATGACCGCATTCGGGAGAAATTCAAGCTGCTCAAGGAGCTGCTCCAGCTACCGCCAGCCACACAGATGATCAAGCAGTGTAGTGGTGGCCAGCAGCGTCGGCTTTCCTTTGCCTGCGCCATGATCCATGATCCCGAGCTCCTCATTCTGGATGAGCCCACAGTGGGACTGGATCCCATGCTGCGTGAGAAGTAAGTCAAGGAAAACAGTTAACAATTTGCCGCAGAATTGATTAAAGTTTCTTTATGTCTTGCCAGAATCTGGGATTTTCTTGTGGAGACTACCAGAAATAGCAAATTGGCTGTGATCATTACCACTCATTACATAGAAGAGGCCAAGCAGGCCAATTGCGTGAGTTTAATCTAGATTTTAGGTTTAATAGATTCGATTTTTAACCTTTTTTTCTCCCTGATCTTGGCAGATTGGCCTCATGCGCAATGGCGTTCTCTTGGCGGAGGATACACCCACCAACATTATGATCAAGTTTGGCACTCAGTCCATTGAAGATGCCTTTCTTATACTGAGTCAGCGTCAGGGCAATGAGGATGAGCTGGCCCAGATTATGGATCACAACAAGAACCAGGCCTTGCCCACGGCTGTCCTGCCGCCTGAGGTCATAGACACTCATGAGCTGACATCGCCCGAAAAACCACCAATACCTTTTGAAGAGCCTCCAAACGAGAACCGCAAGAAGGTGTTCTTTACCACCAAGGGCAGGGTGAAGGCCCTGATGACCAAGAACTTTGTGCAATTATTCAGGCAGCCATCGTAAGTCAATAATCTTAATTTAAAATATAAAAAGAAACTAGAAATAATCCCTCTCCTTTATAGGGGCATTATCTTCATGCTATTATTTCCCATTATCCAATTGACTTGCTTTTATCTTGCCATTGGCAAGACTCCCACGAATCTGGAGATTGGCGTTTACTCCGGCGAGGTGGAGAGCTATGGAGAGTGCTTCAACGACAGCCTGGTCACAGTTTATCACGACGAGGACACTGAGCTCTGTTCGTTTCACAAGCTTTCCTGCCGATATATACGAGAACTAGGCGATGATGTGGCCACCAGAAAGTACTATTCCAGTGAGGCAGATGCCCTTAGAGATGCCAAGAAAGCCATGACCGTGGGCTATCTGTATTTTGCTCAGAATTTCAGTGACTCGATATCGTCGGTGCTGGAGGATGGCATTCGTGCCACCGATGGGGCCGTGGACTTTGCCGAGCTGAGCATTCACATCGACATGACAGGTAAGTGTGGGCGCCTGGGGACGAAGTCTTTTGAAATCTATCTAGCTATTCCGCAGATCAACAAGTGGCTTACTTCATGCAACGCAAATTGCGCGACAAGTTCACCACCTTTATGCGCAGCGTTGTCCGGGATTGTAATGTATCCTCAGCCATTGTGGATTTGCCTGTGCAGTTCCAGGATCCCATATTCGGCAGCACGGACATTGAATTCCAGCAGTATTGTGCTCCTGGTGTGGTAATGACGTGAGTATGGTATCCGCAGAAAGGATAACATGAATCTTTGCTTAAATTTTATATGTTATTTTCATTTTATGAGCTGATGTTTTCAAATTCACCGCTATCCATTTTTTGGTTCTTCTTCGATATGGGAAAAGCTCTCAACACCATGTTCATGCATTATTTCTTTGTCTGATTTGAAAGCAAGTTGACCTCCTTTGATTATCTTGTAGCATGGTCTTCTTTTTGGCCACCTTGATGACGGCTGCTGTGTTCATTTCGGAGCGGATGGATGGTATTTGGGATCGCACTCTTCTGGCAGGTGTTTCGGCCACGGAAATGCTCTGGGCTCATCTCCTGACTCAGTTGATTATTATGGCCCTGCAGTCTTTTGAGGTTATTATGTACATTGGCCTGGTCTTTGATACCTACAACAATGGGGATACTCTGACGCTTATAGGGTTGCTCACTCTGACGGCCTTCTGTGGCATGTTGTTTGGTAAAAAATATATTTTCAAACTTTTATTTAATTAAAATAATAACAAAAACCTTTCTAAATAGGTCTCTTCATATCCGTCTTTTGTAAATCGCATACGGAGGCCAACTTTGTGGCCACTGGAGCCTTCTATCCCATGATTATTCTCTGTGGTAAGTTTAGCTCTGACTAGAATATCTATAACAATATTAAGTAAATATTTTCATTATCCTTCTAGGACTCCTTTGGCCCCTGGAGAGCATGCCGCAGTTCCTGCAGGACCTGGTTATGGTGCTGCCCTTCACCATACCCTCCATATCGGCTCGAAATGTGATCGAAAAGGGTTGGGGCATCACCAATGCCAAGGTCTACAATGGTTTTCTGGTCATGACCGGCTGGACGATCATCTTCTTTGTGCTCTGCCTGATTGGCATCAGACGCAAGGCGTAGATTTCAGTTCTTGGGTTATTCTTTAATTATCGGGGGCCTTTCACACACACACACACACACACACCTAGTTGTAGTTGTATTAGCATTTTAAATAGGCGATTTTACGTGCATATCGTTTGTAATTTAATAATTATCGGAAGCATATCACTCGCATGTTGTAGACTCTCATCACACACAAAAAAAAAGAAGGGAAATCACATTCATACCAACGAATCGTAAAGCGTTCTTGGACAGTCTTAACTCAAAAGGTGCTAGGACTGTACTTAAAGAATGCCATAAGGTCTTAAGGGTGTCTCACAAAAAATATTTATAATACACAGCACAGCAGCATATATATTGTACCCATTGACAACAAACCAATTTCGTATTTAAAAAAATGATTGTGAAACATACTAAACTTAGTACAAGTTGTACATTTAAACCCACATTTTAAGCTAAGATAATCCGTGGGAGAAAAATGGTAAAACTTTGAAAAAGTCTTGTATACTAAAATGAGGAATTGTTAGAGCGAAATTTTAAATCAACCAAAAATACCAATTTAAATAAAATGTGTTTAAAATAAGTGTCTATTATCTTTCATTTTAAATTCTTTAACTCTCTTAATTCAGTTCTAAAAGAAAAGTACCAGAGTGTCAACAAGTTTCTCAATATTTGTCTTCATGGTAAATTCAAAGCAGCGCCAACTAAAGCGAAAGTTCGTTACCCATTCCCCCCCCTAATATTTATATAGATATATATATTCTATATATGTTGCCTTTAGATGTATATATAAAATCATCTATGCTGGTGTGTGGGCCAAGGACAAGGACACGTTCACGACGACGACCATGTCGAGGACGTGGCAAAGTTGCTGACACACTTCGGGCTCGAAAGTGCTAGACAGAAAGTCTGCTCGGCTGGATGGCTTCCTCCTCTGAGCCCTGACCCCTGGACACCCCTTGCCTGGTGTCTGCCAGCAGACATTTTTATTACAAAACTTTATCTTTGCCAAATACGAAAACGACTACGACGACGACGACGACGATGGCGACAACGACGAGAAGGAGAAAAATATAAAAAGCCAACGCTAGGCCATCCTACTCTTGGTCCTCGTCTGCGTTCTCCTCGCTGCTTGTGGGTGTTTGTCAAGTCCTGGGTGGTGGCACAGAGTTTAGTTTGGCATTTTATATAACTTGCATAAAATGTGCAAGCCGGAAATCGTTGCCAGACTAGAGTGTGTGTCTGTGCGTATCAGCCAAGGGAGAACTTGTTGCCCTGGGCTTGGGTTTCAGGATGAGGATTGCCATGAATCCTGGTTATCTTGGTACCATACAAGGTCATTTACATTGCAAATAAAATGATAGATGATTTAGTGTAAAATGTAAATTAATTGAGTGGATAAGAAATAATAATAATCATCAAGAAAATGAAGAGAACTTGGACACAAGGCAATATTTAAGCCAAGATTAAATATGAAATATATAGCAAAGATTGGAGGGGTTATAAAGTTAAAAATTGTAACCAGAAAGATCATTTTAAAGGCCAAAAAACGTTTCCAATATATATTACCCATGAAATATAAGCTGAATAATTTGTAAAAAAAATATTAATTACGGCTTTCTTATATCTTTATATTTTTAAAATGAATCTGGAAGTTTTCTCTTGACAAATTATTTGTGTTTTAAATTTAAACACATTTTCCAGAGTCACGAAATATTTTTAAAAATAACCAGAGTACCTCTAAATATTCTCTATTAAAGCAAATATTAAAACATTAAATAAATTTGGAATTTAAATTCTGGCCTTTTGTCTAGCCCCGTCACAGACGGAAACTATCTCTGGGGAATGCCCCTCTATACTGACAATGAAAAACCCAACTTTTTGGCAGCAAACAACTCTGGGATGACTGGGTCAAGTTGCCTGAAAGTAGGCAACTGAAAAGTTTTCTCGAACGTCGAGTATAAAAACAATTTTGTGGCCAAAAAGCGAACTTGTTTGACCTTCAAACGAGCACACACAACAATATCCAGCCCCCATATCCTCATCCTTTTCCTGCGCCCTCAACATACAAAATAATACAAAAAAAAAAAAAAAAACAAACCCTTTCTCTAGACTGGCGCAAATGTTGTTACAACTTTTGCTCCATTTCATGCATATATAACATTTTTCGGCTTTAAATGTGACCAGAAATGAGGGAGGGGGTTGCAAAGTTGGTAAAATACTGTGGCTTGCTCTCGTAATTTGACCTCCAAAACACAAGTTGAACAAACTCTGGGCAAAGTCGTCAGTCGTCAACATCCGAATGCCAAGGGAAAAAGGAGTAAATTTAAACCTAATTTTAATGAAGGTAAAAGTGTTTTGTTTACTTTTTGTCTTTACTTTGCGGCTTTCCCCAAAAACAGCTGAAAATGTGTGCTTTATTTCTTTGTGTTTGTGTTTGTGTGTATGCGTTTGTGTCTGCAAGGACTCGCCTTTGTGTTTGCATGGACTCTAGCATCCTGTTTCAGCCCCCTCCAGCTTTAACAAAAAATTTCCGTTTCAGGTTCATTGACTAAAGGTGTGCGATGTGCTGAAACTGCAGGTGAGTGCCGAAAGGTGCAGTCATTGTTGTGAAACAAAAGGATCCTTAAACTTGGGTGGTTTGATTTTAAAATCAATTAATTAAAAACCTAAGAAGCTAAGGTTTGGGTGAAATCTTAAAGCTATGATTAATTTTTGTTGAGGTAGGAAAGTTTTGAGCAAGAATAGTTGTAGTTCAGAATTCAGAGCCTTATAAACAAATTTTTACCTGAAGGAAACCTGATCAAGGAGCGGTCACTAAAGCTCATTCGAAAAGAACTTCAAATAAAGCTCTTACAAATCTTTTAGTAGTCAAGGATAGCAGCTATTTAGTAAAGAGTGGTTACAGTTCCTCTACATCCATATTCTACTTATTTCCCCAACTTTTCCTTTCTCTTTCCATCCAAAATCATTTGAAAAACATTATCCTCGCAAAATCAAAACTCAAGTAACTTCAACCCAAGTCCACAAATATATTTGTTCAAGTAAATCAAAGACCATAAAACTCACTGCCCCCCATCATCTATCTGTTTTCCGCATCGAATGAGGAGCAATATTTTGAAAAACTAAAAACCATCAGGCAGTGAAAATGAAAGATGACACAATAGACCACTCAGTTCGTATGGGACTGGGATTGGGATTCCAAATCATTGCCGACTTTTGCATTTCATTGACCCTTTAAATGGCTAAGATACACACAGAGCACACAGATGGCACCGCCTACATACGACTCTGATGCTGCTGCTGCTGCTGCTGCTCCTGCTGCTGTTTCTGCATCATGTCAGTCAAAGTTCTTTCTCTCGGCAAAATGGAGAAAAATTTGATTTGAGAGTTTATTCAATTTGCTGCATCTGTGTGTTGTTGTGGAGGCCAAGCAGCCTGAAGGGGGCGCACATCCTCTAGATACACACACACACACACACGCAGTCATGGCACACACTCTGGCATTTAAGTGCACGCTGAACTGATGTCTGATGGACAACCAGAGTTATGGGGCAGGTGGGCGGCTCGGGCTGGGAATCGGAACTGGTGCTGGTCCAGGCAGGTGGGGTTGGGCTCTGAACTCTGCCAATCTAATACAATCAACGTTCGAGTTCGATTCCATGCGCATTCGATGCGTTTGAGGTAGCCACCAGTCCAGCTACCGATGCGTAGGCCCACACCCCTCAACACGGCAAGTGCCCCCATCCGGATCACCATCTCCTTCCATCTTTAGCCCCCCCATCCTGGCCATACACACACACACACACACACATTCGCTTGGTTTTTGCCCTCATATGCAGTGCCAGCCTGAATACATAGGCTCGTTTCATTCACTCGACCGAGCATTTTGTTCGATTTTTAGTCTCCTTCTCGCTCACTCTCTATGTACCATGTCCTGTGTCCTGTGTCCCGAGCTCCTGAGCTCCTCTGCTGTGTAGTGCTGCACATAGGAGCGAAGCAGAGCAGAGCAGAGCACGGGGAGGCAGCTGGGATCCTGGCCACACATGCGTTTGGCCTTTTGCCTGGCACACATAGCAGCAGCAGCAGGAGCAGCAGCAACAGTGGCAATGGCAACAGCAGTGTCGCGCTGTGTTCCAATCGTTTTATATGGCCCAACTCCTGATTGGGTTTGCACAGTGGTAATGAGAATTATAAATAAAAGCAATTATATATACATAAGTACCTCAAAATTTATTAAATTATAATTCTTTATTGCTATTTTTCTTTAATAATATATATTTTTTTTTTAATAATCGTTGACATTTTTGCAGTATACTTTTACATAAATTAGCAACATCTATTAATATTTAAAACCCAATTAATGTTGATTAAACTACACCACTTCGAGTTAGCAAAAACTTGCACATAAGAAATATGAAATATAAATAAAAAAAATTTTTTTTAATTATATCAAGTCCTGCAATTGCAAATTTTATTATATTAAAATTTTAATGGATTTGTATTTTTTTTTATTCTTACTTAGAAAAACGTTTGTATATTGAAATATAATTTTGAAATATGAGAGTTAATTATTACAGAACTGAAGTATTTAAGATTGGTAAACTTCTAATTTAATGACAAAATGTAGTTATTTATAAATATTACCGAAAAGTTGTACTAAAGAAATCTAAGTTAATTTCTGAGCTTCGAGGATATCTATAAATATTACCTAACACAGTCTTTAATTTTTATGAAAAATTTCATTTAGGATTTAAATTAAAGAACAGAGCTAAACAATAGAAAATAAATACCCCTAGAGCCTAAAAAAATAAACATTCTTTATATGAAATACAATTTCTCAAGTTTTTAAATATTCTTAAAGCTAAAAAACAGACAATACACCCAGTGAATATTTTAAAGTAATCAAAATTGTATAAAGAAAAAAAATATATAACCATTTTTTTTTGTCCCACTGTGCACAAAAGGCAGTGCAAAAATTGCGCCAGCCAATGCAGCGACCGAAAAAACAACAAGGACAGAGAGGCAGAGAGCGCGGCAGCAGCAATACATGCGTGGGGGAAAACTCGGGGAAAAGGCGCGATTGGAGTGGAGTGGGTGGCCTCGTTGGGGAGGCTTCGTTGCGTCACACTTGTGGATGGGCAAGGAGTGGAAGTGGACCATCGAGTGGGTGGAGGGAAAAACGTGGACATGAACGCTGGCGAAGCTGGCGAAAATGGTGGCAGCGACAGCGACGCAGCCTATTTCGCTGGCCAGGAAAAATAAGAGGGAGGCGTGGACGCGGCTGCAGAGGGACAAGCACGCAGCAGACGCACAAAATGCAATACTCCCCGAGGTGGGTGGGTGAACACACCAAAATGCAGTCGGGAAAACAGGAGGTACACGAGGACCTGCACACCATTGCACTGGGGACTATGTGCGAGCTTGGATGTCATGTATGTATTGCCATTGACCAGGCTCCAATCTCTCGCTCTCGCTCTGGCTGTGGCTGTGGCTCTCGCCGGGCCCATCTCTTTCTGGCCTGCTCGCTTGTTTGCCAATTTATTTTGCGCACAATACGAAACACGGAAAATGCATGAGGCCATCCAGCCACCCAGCCACCGCCCACCGCCCACTTTCCACCCATGGCCGAAAAAAAATGAAAATGAAACGAACGCAATGATAGCCACACAGCAGAGCTGGCCAAAAGCAACAACAACAACGGGCGAGCAAGCATAAAAAAAATTGCACAAATTCCAGTTCGATTTTTGGCCATAATGCAAAAGCCTTGCTCTCTCTGTCTATCCATGTATCTGCTGTCTCTGTTGCTTTTGCATTCTGTGGCTGCCGCTGCCACTGGCACTGCTGCTCCTGCTGTTTGTTGTTATTTTCCGTTTGCCACTTTGTGCGTGGATTTCCCCTTTTCCTCAGTTTCCTATCCTCTACTTGCCTTTCGCTAGCTTTTTTCTAGACTTTTCCCATTTTTTTAGGGCCGCGACTTCCACTTTGATGGAACGAGCGTCGCGCTTTATTTTGTTCCTGCTTCTTTGTTGCCCCTGACTTTTGGCAAACAAAAAAAAAAGATAGAGAAAAATACAAACGGGTTCAGCGGTAGTACACACTCGTAGTAGCTTTTTATGGCCAACGTAGTAGCTGGAACCCATGGAACCAAGTCAGTCATCAGTCCTACGCACCAGGTTCAGATACAAAAAAAAATAGTAAAAGCCATGGAAATTCAAAGAAATGGAACGAACGAGGTAGGAAATAGGAATAGCGACGAAGGATTGAAGGAAAATGTGGCACAAAGGATCCAAATGTCCTACAGAAAAAAAGTCAATTGGGAAAAGGAAGCCGAGAATGCCAGAGAGACACAATTTTCCTAGGCAAACAGTCCTTCTTTTTTTCGCATCTGTGGAATGACAGTATCTTGAAGACATATTGCAGCAAAATTTCAACGTTAGCTCACTGAGCATCCAATTTCAATTCAGTTGAGATACAAAATAAACAAGCCAACTGAATTCAATATTATTGTTAGATATTAAGATACAAAACATACACACAGTAAAGGGCAAGGTATTGTAAAAGAATATACATATATTTGGGTTATAGATTTTCAAAATATCTGTTAAAAAGAAAGACAGTTTTCTCAACTTCAAGAATTTGAAACTCATTATCCCAGATAAATTCTGAAATATGACTGTTTTCTCCACAAAAAACCATTTATCTTTAAATTCTTTTAAGTCAGAACAAGAGTGCCTCCTCCTCAGTGCAGATCTTCTTCACTAAAGGAAAACCCTGCTCAACTTCCTTCATGATCAGCACGATATAAGCTAAAGTTCAATGTACTTGGAGATACCAAAAAAGAAAACAAGAAAGGTTGTCAGGCTAGGAAAACTACAGTCACCGATGGAGTATTCCATTTCAGCAGAAGGAAACCGCTCAAGGCGCAGTCCAGGGAAAAGCAAAAGATGCGGTCCAGAGCAATCGAAACGGAAGCCAAGGGAGGCGCATCGAGAATCTAACATTTGCCGTGGATAAGTGCAGGTGGTGCCCATTGGACGGGGGACTGTGGTTAGCGATGAGTGGGAGTGTGCCCGACAAAGTGATTCAGAAGCAGGAAAATGTGTAGGTAAAGGCTGGGAGCAGTAAGATTCAAAACAATCCAGGACATGCAAATGGAGACGAGAAGAAAAGGCTATAGATAACTATGAATTTGTACTATTTTCTAAGTTTTGCCCTTACTAAGAAAATTTAATTTTTTAAGGGCATAATTATGAAATGTTGCAAAGATGATAAAGCAACTAAAACTACAAATTTAATGGTTAAATAACTATTGTATAAATTTACAAATAATGCTATTTTAGTATTTAAAACCCTCTGATTCATTTTATTCCTAGCCAAAAATTCAATTCCACACAGTTCTAAAAGATATATTAATGCTCTATTCCCTCATCGCCTGTTTTAATTCCCTTTTTTTTGTGATGGCATAGCAGATGCATCCATCCTGCTATTAAGTTAATTGTCCTGATTAGCATGCCTCCATGTCTGTTATCCTCGTTGAAATTTTTGAGCTTTTGACATTCGTTTTGGGCTTGGAGTTACAGAATAAGAGAGACTGCTTTGTGCGCGGGGCCACAGCATGGAGCATAGAATGGGGCATAAATGTGCCTATTACTCCCCCCTCCAGTTTGCCATTAGCAACAGGAACGGAGGAGTGCTGCATATGCAGTTGCAGCTGCAGCTGCAGTTGCAGCAACTAGAACAACAGCAACAAAGTTCGGTCAAACGTCAGAAATGTGTTCGTTTGTTCGCTTTTGCTATTGAACGCAGGCCAAAAGCGGGCATGCTAAAACACAGGGAACCACCCTCTCGGTCACCACCCGGCCGGCACTACCCACCACCCCCGGGCAACGGGAGGAGCTGCAAGAGCAGCGGCAGCAGGACGATGTACAGGCCTACTCCTCCTCGGCCCGGGCATCGGCAAATGCAAATGCAAATGGGCAAAATGCGCTTTGACGACGACCATGTGGATGGAGGCGATTGCGTGGACGGTGCAGGAGGAATGGAGGAGGTGGTGCGGTGGTTTTCTGAACGGACAGGACAGTTGGACGAAGCAGGCAGGCGCAAAACGCATTTCAAATCGAAAAGTGGAACTTCACTCATTTGGCGCGGGGAAACGGGGACAGGTAAATAACCAGTGTTCTCGTCTCTCCACATAAGCCTGATTACAGGGTAGCAAAAAAGGTGGTTTCGATTTATGAGAGCAAGAGGTAGAGTGGTTGCTTTTATGCATTTTAATATGTTTATATCTAAACTAATATTATTTAGAGTAAGGCTAAAAAGTACTAAACTCTTATTATTTTTAACTTAAAGATTTATATAAGACTTGTTTATATTATTTGGAACCCCGAAAACTCTCTTATTTTATGTATTAATAATTAATCTAGAATATTCAAGATGACATCCTTAAACTTTCCTTTTTTCTAGGAACAACTTGTAATATTTAGAATTGTTTTCTCTGCAAATTTAAGAAAAAAGATAATTAACAGGGTGTCAAATAGTCGAATTCCTGACAACCTAATTTTATGTTATTCTTTTTAGCTCGCCTTGGTGGATGGAAAATTGACTAAATGCAACGTTTTCGTGTTCATTAAGCTCCGAGAGGATCCGTTCTGTCGATATCCAAACCCGGCCCAGCCGTCCTCTAATGGCCAATTTTCCCTCTAACTCTCGAAGCCAATTGGGAATTTTCCATATCGGCGCAGTATGTTTTCTTTTTTTTCGGATTTTCAGGCTTTGGTGGTTGATTCCCGCTTGGGACAGTGCAACCAAGAGATGGGGTTGCGCTTGGGTTTGGGTTTTCGGGTTTTTGGGTGGGTTAAGGTTGGGGTGGTGAGGCGCGAATCGACTACTCGGGGTGGTCGCTAAAAAGTGCATTTCGAGTTCTCTGCTGTCCCGTTCGGGGATTATGGGGTTGTGCACGGTTGCGTCAAAAGGTCAGCGACTATTCCACAGGGTGGATTATGACTGACGGCCTGATAAAGTGAGGAAGCTGAAAGTTTTTTTTTCAATTTCAGGATATACGAATAGAACCGTTTGTAAAACTTGACTTTAACGGGTTTTATGCTACAATTGATACGATTATCAATTAGGGTTTAGTATTTCGAAAAGGTTTTAGATAAAACAGTCATTAGACAACGTCAAATTAAAAAGCTTTTGTATAAAATAAACATAAAAACCATAATAATCATTATTTTATAGGCTTTTCAAACAATTGGTGTCCTTAATTTTTCTTTTTAAGCCTTTCATTTATCATACATAGGAACTAAATTATTTAAAGAGTTAAAAAAAACAAAAAAAATTAAAAAGATAGATCAAAATTAATTGAAATTGCGTTAATTGTGGACTTATTTCAGAATCAGAAAAAAATGAATACCTTTCTAATCTCGAATTTGAAATAGCAAACAATTTTTAAACAAATATATTTACAACCTTTGATTTTTAATATTTATTAAAAACAAAAATATCTAAAACGGTCAACTGTGAACCCTTTTCCATATTAATTTTAATGCCTCCGATTTTTGATTACAACAATAAAACAAGTTTATGATTTTAAAATCAATTTTTCCACTATTTTTTAATAATTTAAAAGAAAAAAATTAATTTTCTAAAAAAATATGTTGGCATTATAAAATGTTTAAAACCCGCAGTACTTTAAAAGTACCTCTTTCCAAATATTTTATCAATTTCCTTATCTCCTATTTGGTTCTATTACTGACCTGCACCATTTTGATGTCCTTGTGTGGGTGTACCGGGTAAAGAGAGTCCTAATCCAACGGTAATTCACGTGCCACTTGCACTCGAAGATGCAGCCAGATGCCGGTAACGGTAAATCGACGTTTTTTGCGAGCGGAGACAGCAATGAGAGCCCGTGCAAGAGAGGGAGAACGGCTATGGCAGCAAAACAAACGCAAAAGCAGCTACAGCAACAATTTAACTTAAAGACGCGAGAGAGCGAACGCACGTGGAAATTTCACTTTTGTTTTAGTTTCAGCGCTTTTATTGAAGGTTCTTATCCAATTCATTTAATCCAAGCGCCCACACACACGCACACACAACTGCATTTGGGTGGAAAAGTGGTAGGAGTGCGACGAAAAGAGCGGGAGAAGAGTATTGAAAAGCACGCGGTTGCCGTTATAAATTTGTTGTGATTTTGCGTTGTTATTGTCCAGCCAGTTCTTTAGCAGTTGCAGTTCACTTGGCGGCTATTGCATTTTGTGCGGTTCACTTGGCTGCGCTGTTCACGCCTCGCGGGGGAGTCTGGGATTTCCACGATTTTCCGGGAAACGAACCGTTCGCGTTCTGAGTCAGTTTACGTTTACTATTTTCCGGACGCGTTCTTCGGTCAGCTGGCAGTCGGGCCCAAAGTTGCCAGTTTAGCTTATTTCTAGCTATATCTAGCGTTTTTGGAAATTGTAGAGATGAAGGGTATTCCATACAGGGATGAATATATTTAGCCGGATGGAGAAAAAAGCAAAAAGTCGATTGTACATTTTGTAATTAATAAAACAGTAATGTTGTTGAATTTCTCGTATTAAAATGTATATATTTGTTTTTATCTTCGGTTCATTTTTAGCCTATTTTAGCTTCTCTGAATCTAGCTTTTTAGTACAGAAAAATATACTAAAAGTATGACCGTAATCAGGGCGAAAAACGAGAAGAAAAGGGAAAAGGTGGAATATTAAGGTTATTCAGGGCATTTCAATAATAATTTTCTTAAAAATTAAATATAAAATAATTAAACAAATTTTTATCCAATTCTAATTGTGATTTAATTAAATTCATTTTAATTTTAAATTTAGTATGCTGTTTTAATAAACTTTTAAAAACTAACATAAAAATTCCGAATTGAAATTAAGTAATTTTTGGCTTAGTTATGATAGCGGCCTTTCTGATTCAACATTAGATATCCAGTTTGGTGTATTTATTTTAAATTTATTATAGATATATATATATTTTTAATATGTTACTATTTTTATTTAAAGGGTGTTTTATTTATTATATATGTTAATTTATTGATAATCAAATTAAGAAAAATAATATATAAGAATTAATTCATGTTATTAAAATAAGCTTTTAAGGAAATTTGACTACTAAACGCTCACCTGCGTAACAGATTGACAATTAGTGTCAATAAAATCAATGTTTAAATATTTGAAAAGAATTAAGAAAACATTGTTAAAATTCCCAATGCTATTCCCTCAAGATCATGTCCCACAGAATTAAATCCAATTTAAAAACAATACTTTTCTAGATACAAATTGTTATCAAATTAGTTTTATTTTACAGACGAAAATTAGCATTCCATTAAAAGGGCTTTCTGATCCTATTTTAAAAAGATAGACAACAACTGTGTTAAGTGTTAACGCTTATATACGTTTTATTTTTATATCAATTTTTCATAGGTAAGAACAGAAATGTAATTTATTTACAGTGTTAAGATCGATCGCCATTGCTCTCTTTTTTTTCTCTTCCATACTCTTGTTCGGCGTTTAATTGTTTTTCGTGTCGTTTATTGTTTTTTTTTTTTTTTTGTATATTTAAAAAATGAATTCTTTCGTGTCCTACTTAATTCAAATCCATTACAGAACTGCTGCATATATGTATATGTGTAATTGGAATCGATTCCACAATATCAACTAAATAGATAAAACAACTTTTCATACAGATTATCATAATCACTGCTCGTCGCAAAACTAAAGATAGGAATATATATTCACGGCAATCTTCAATCTGAAATCTCAATCTTGCAGAGAGGATGCAGGGTATGTGTGTGTGGGCTTGTGGACTCTTGCACATCAAACACGCTCACTAAAATTAATAATTCATTTATAAATTTATTACTTTAGCTATATTTATAATTATGAATATTTCTTTTCGCTTAAATTTCTGCTGCTGCATCTTTACCTTTACTCAATCGCTTAAAATTAGGGCTTGCATTATGCGTACTCTACTCTTATGCATTCTTCGCGTACGATTCCTATCATGGGTGGATTTTGGATGTTTTCTTGTGTGTGGCTGCTGATGTGTGTGTTTGTGTGTGCGGTTGGGCTTACTGCTATACAATTTGAGGGCGCAAAGAAAATGTCCGGAAAAACAATAATGGTTAGAGAATTAAGAATTATATTAGAGGGATAATTATGTATGTTACTGTGCGGCGGAGTCTCTCGCCCTATCTATCCAATAGCATTTTAAACTGTTCAATTTTGAATGGCATTCTCGGAAAAGTAGTGGCATGCAAAAGGGAAATTTTACGTTTCTGGCGGGCGCTCCTGCATTGGTTAAACTCTATATGTTTTGGGGCTTAGTTGACTTGAGAGAGGTCATCCATAATCTTGGTCAAAAAAAATGTTATTGCTGCCGCTTGCCGTTTGCGTTTTTTTGAAGATGAGTTCGATCCGGATCCCGTGCTTGCGCCACTTAGGCCAAGTAGTTGTACACCTTGCGGTCCTCGGGTGATCGTTGCAGATACTCGCGCTCAATGAGGCCCTCGATCCGCTTCTTGATGAACACAGGTGAGGGCAAGAAGCGCGATTTTAGCTGCGACGTCACGTCCGACACCAGTAAGTTGTGCTGTAATTATTTGAAGTTCAAGTAAAATAAGTTAACTGGTTTGCTATTAAGTACTCACCGCCATACGCTTGCGCGCCTTCATGATGCGCACAATCGCTGCCTCAATTTCGTGCTTTCGATCCTCATCGACCTTGCCGCGCGTCTCCTTGCGCTCTGGCTCTGATTCGCCCTTAGCGGCCACCGTCTGTATCTTCACCCTGTAGGAATTCCCCAAAAGGTATTAGTTATCGAAATCTATATCTTATTGATAATAGAAAATTATATATCTCACCTGTGGAACTTTGACACAAAGGCATCGTTCACATAGAACTCATCCGTGGGCTCAATATCCTTGGTTTTCGTCTTGGAATTACGCACCAGCAAGCGCTGAGCTGGCTTGCCCATAGACAGCGACTGAAGGGCTCTTACCAGCTCCCGCTCTGGTATATCCGTCTCCTGGTGGATGTCATCATAGGTGAGCACATCGCGGTTGTTAAACAGCAGCAAAACGCACATCTGCAAGGGAAAAATTTTAGAAAATTAAAAAATGGAATTATGGAAAGAAACCCCCTTAAAACTCACCTGGTATGTGGACACCTGCAGTATGTGCTTGCGTGTGGTGGTGGGCACTGCACACCCGCTCGAACTGGAGCTGGGTGCATCCTTGTCCTTCTCACTGTCGGCTGCTTTGCGGCCATAAAACACGGCGTTTATATAGGCAGTGCCTAAGGAAAAAGAAAAATATAATTAAATTTTTTAATTAATTTTAGGGAAATCTTTTTTTCTAACTCACCCATTTGAGGCTGTAACGTTAGCTGACGTCCTGAGTGTTTGTTCAGATAGAAGCTCTTGAAAATTTCAAAGGCTTCGCGGGGTGCGGCGGGTATGTTGCAGTTGGGAGTTGCTGTCTGTAAAGGGAATACAGTAAAAGTCATTAAGGACTTTTCTTAAAATATAAAATATAAAAGACGAACTCACCTGTGTTGGCCAGAATCCCGTGGTTAGTATGCGTACCGTTAGCTCAACACCGCCCAAGGATAAATTGTTATTATTTACATAGTTCTTGAACTCATCCATGATCGTATTGGAGACGGACATGTCCTTAAACATGCCCTCTAGCTTCGAGGTGAATTGACAGCCGCATTCAGTCTGCAAAAGCAGGTAAGATAGTCATGAATATGAAGTTTGATTAAAGTAAATATATATATAAATTAATTATATATATATTCAATATATACCTTTAGTTTGGATATCATATTCTTCTCGAAATCATCAGAGACTGATTTGTTTAGCAGCAGTCGCTTGGCTAAATGCGTCTTGTAATAGCGCTCAAAGACATCCTTCTCCAACAGGAAACGGAAAAGCACCATGGTCTTGTCCAAAATAGACTCGATTTCCTGCTCGCTCATCTATAAGGTATATAAAAGTACAACTATAGTATCTAAAGTAAGTAATACCATGAAAAACTCACTCCCTTGCCACCCTTTTTCAGTTTGTCGTCAATGAAAAGCGACAGATATTCCGGCGATTTGTTATTCAAATTTAAGAAATGCTCAAAGTCCGAGGAGATGACATTCTTGAAGATGCGATCGTTGGCGAATGAGTGAACCAGAAACTGATCAAAGCGATCCTTGAGATCCAACAGATTCTGCACGAACGTAATGGGATTCGTGTTGCCATTCTCCTCCTCCTTGACCAGCATGCGTCCCTGCTCTCGCAAATACGCCGACATGGTGTCCGCTATCACCTTGAGGCCCTCCTCCTTGAGGCGCGAGAAGAGCTTGTATGTGCAGGCCAGATCTTCGGTCTTTGAGTTCTTGATCATGTAGACCACGCCCGAGTTTTCCATCTCCACGATCGGGCGCATGTGCTTCTTGATCAGCTCCTCCTCCACAACTCGCACAATGCGCGGCTCAGTGTCCTTGTCTAGGTAGAGCGCTGCCCGTGACGATTCCTCTGTGATGCGGGCCTCCACTTTCTTGATGTAAACGCCAGCGTTGTTCTCGGCAAGAAAGTTCTGCGACTCGAATTTGTAAAAGGCCGCCGACTGGGCAAGGAAGGGCTTTTCAAAGTCCTCCTCGTAGACAGTGCGCGAGTTGATGCCTAAAGTGATTAGCATGCTGCAGGCGTTTTTGATGGCCAAATGGTTAATGGCCTCGCCATGTCGCTCCTCCATTACCATGCCCAGCAGCTTCTCCCGCAGGGCCTTTTGAATCTCTCCATAGCGAACCACCTGTTAAAAGAAAGGAATTTGAGTACAACTATATAGTTTAAAGTAGTAGTTACTTACCTGATCCTTGAACAATATCAATCCCAGATTGTATACATTGTCCACCTCACGCTGCTGCACATAGACCCTGTCCATGTACATGAGTATGTCGCGTATCATCACCATGGAGGTCTGATGATCCGTCCAGGCCTGGTTCAGCTTGGGCAGAAAGTTGCTGTGCAGACTCTCCAGCACCTCCGCCCTCACCTTGTGCTCCAGATGCTCGGATACGACCTCCCTCAGCCCGTAGTATAGTCTGTTGCCGTGCTTGTGCAGCACCATGTTGTAGGCATTCCGATAGAGCTGTTCAAACGACAGACCGGAATTGTTTTTCTTCTGTATCTCCTGGATAGCGTTCTTCAGGCTGGCCCAAATCGTCTCCACGTACTTTTCGTCCATGGAGGCCTGCAATGGAAGTGAGAGAGAGAATGTTATTTGAGGAAGAAAATTACAGAAAAAGGGTTCCTGAATCCTAATATTAATCCTAAAAATGTAAGGTCTTTCTGGAAGACTTATCTTCCAGATTAGAAGCTACCTATAATCTAGGATTACTCTTAGTTATATGCTAACATTGAAGGCCTTTCGCTTGTACTCGGGCATCCATAGCGGGTACTTGCGAACAATATCCTTGGGACGTGGACCCTCTGCAATATCCTTGATATCGGGACCATTGGCTCTGACGATTGGGCTGTTGTCAATGGAAGCGGGAGCAGCAGCGGGAGGTGACGCTGAAACTGAGACGGGCGAGGACGCGGGAGAGGGTCCCTCGGGATAACTATTCTCAGCTCGCGTCCGACCAGTTCTGGCGACATGGTGGCGCCTATCATATGTAGTCTGCCATGACTGCTGCTGCTGCTGCGACTGAAAGGAAGTATTAGCCTGTAGTACAGAGTGCCTAGAGACCCGGTAGGCTCCCGTGGAGGCTCCGGTGTCAGCCGTTTCCCTGTTCACGCCGCCACCTCCACCGCTTATTGGGTTAAAGTTGGATGAAGCCACAACACGACTGTGACGGTTGCCATTGACGTTCAGATTATTCAGGGGTTCCGGCTGCTGCTGGCGGGGATTACGACCTTGCATATGGTAGCGATAATGCTGGTCCAGCTCTCGCTCCCTATCCCTCTCACGCTCACGTTCACGCTCCCTGTTCCGCTGCTGTTGCTGCTGCTGCTGGATCCTCTGCTGATCCTCGCTCAGTGCCAGCGAGCGGCGAGCCGCAGCTTGATGTGGGCCCGCTGCCGTGCGGGACCGACTTGGGTTTGTCGACCTAATGGTGCCGGCTTCCTTTCCACATTCGCTAAGCAGTGCCTCCTGTTGTCCGCCGCTGCTCCTCCTCCTCCTGCTGCTCCTCCTGTGCTCCGTGCTCGGGCAAGAGTTCTTTGCTCGTTGTTCACCCTGCTCCCTTCATACAGGTCTGCACAGGCTTTCTTTGTGTGCTGGCGGGAACAATAATTTCTCGAAAACAACGATTGAATTGGATGTAACTTAAAAACTAAAATGTGTTTGAATTTTCACCCAGCCCCAGGTTGTTTGTTTTGATGTTTTCTTCCAGTTCAAAAATTTGTATACATTTTTTTTTGAATTTTTTCGTTTGATTGATTTTTAAAACGATTCCGGGGGCTTGTTTTTATATATGTATATAATATTCTTACATATATATTTATGGGATAACAAACTGTCCCTGTTTTGTAACAATCCTAGGGGCAAAGTCCTAGGCGGAACTATCTTATCGGAAAATTTTGCAACTTCATGCTGCGATCAGCAGATTCCGTTTTCAGGTAAACTGTAAATTGCACAACTTGGGTCATGAGAATAGCGCTGATTTGGGAAATATATTCATAAAAATTTGTTTAATTTCCAATTCATATATAATTTATACTTCTAGTTCCCTCATATATAGTATAGTATGTATTTTTATAATCAATTATAATAAGAACTACTAATGATATAAATTTGGGTTAATAAAAGTCTAGCTTTTGAGTTATTAAACCATAAATAAAAAAGCTAAGTTCTGATTTTAAATAATTAAATAGTTATTTTACTTTCTCTTCTACAATTGAACGTCTTAGAAGACCGCCTATCTATATATCTTTATCTGATTTTCATTTTGCCAAGATAATAACAAGTTATTCCCAGTAACTAAGGGATTCCCCCGGAACTCTTACCGGAAAGGCGCGTATACGCATTTTGCCCTCCTTCTTTGGAGGATTTCCCCGTAGATTCATATTGTTCAGGCGTCGGCACTGCTCCTCCACTTTATTGGTGATCCAGACGCCGAAGCGGGGAGCTGCAGGCGCAGATGCAGGTGCTCGATGCGCTCAGCGCTCAGCGATTTTCCCCGATTTTGTTTCGACTCTTTATCTTTGTTGTTCACGACTCGATTTTCCGTTGACTGCGATGGCTGCTGGTGGCGTTGCGAATGTAAACAAAGTCCTCAGAAGGCACGATTCTCAGTCTTCGGGCAGTTCTGTAAGTTAATAAGCTGGGTTTTAATAACTTGTTCACATTTTTTGATGGTCATGATGGGTGGCGACTTCTCGGGACTCATTTTCCCTTTTTTATGCAAACATTCCACTCAAATGTTAGGGTGTCAATCGCGATATATACACACACACACACACAAAAACAGCAACACACATATGCCCGCGAATATACATATGTATGTATGTATATACATATCTATTTGGGGAAGCGGCGATTTTTATTCGCGAATAGTTCGCAATTTCGAATTCCGTGGGGTGTGTGGGGATCCAGGGGGTAATCTCCTCGAAGATCGCCAACTGCGCCGCCACTTCCTTTGTCCCGTGAGTCCATGGAATGGACCGATTTTATCGGCAATACATATGTACAATATTATATCGCTGGCTCTGCAGATCTCTCCGCGTAAAAGAAACAGCAGAAGGAGAAAAAAAAAAACTCACACGGCGACAAAATAATTGTTATGTACATATGTGCGTGCGAGCAGTGCATGCAATTAAAACAAAAGTCACTGGGATATTCACTCGCGATCGAAAATAGGTTCTGCCAAATACCAGACGGGCGTCCAGTTGATTTTATTTTCCATTTGTTGCTGCTCGCTGGCTTTATTTTCAATAGTTTTTTTTTCTATTTCACTTTGTCATGGGAAAAGACTGGTGGTAGGGTTACATGTGTGTTTGTGTGTCTGTGCGTATGGGAGAGTGGCCGTTTCTCTGTCTGCGTTTTGCGCTTGTGGGTGTATGTTTTTGTACCTTTGCTCATCAAGCGGCTCTCGGGTCCGCTTCTTTCCTCGATTCGCGCTTTCCCAATTACTTTTCACTCTTGCAATCGCTCCAATATCTCAGCTTTTACTATTTTGTTCGATTTGTTGCTATTTTTTACATTTACTTGCATTGCTTTGCAATTGTATTGATTGTAATTCGTTAATAGAGATGGACGATAGTGGCGTACCTTTCATTTTCTTGTCACGGCTATTTCACCCAAGTGGTGACTGGGGATTTTGGTTGGTTTTTACTAAATAATTGGATTGATAAATTAAGTGTGTTGTTGGTCTTAGGTTAACGGCTTTTAATTCAATATTCTTACATTTTTAATAACTAAAATAACTGATAAACTATGTAAACATTTATAATATTTTTGTGACGTGACTAATAATCGTCTGTTTTCCCCATCCCTAGCAACCAGTGTTGAGCAATGGCTGTCTGTGAAAACATATGGCAGCTCTTTGTCATATGGTGCTGTAAAGCGATGAATTCAAGCAAAGTTTTCTGCCAGCCCTAAAAGTATGCCGCACATTTGAAAAGGGCGCTAAAATTCAAAGTCAAGGTATGACTAGTGCACTGTTTTCTTAATTTTTGATAACTTAAGCTAATCTGAAATAAGTTTTGAGTTAATAATGTGGGTATAACTGTTTAGGAAAGATTTTTAATACAAAAATAATTTTTTAAATTTTAAATCCAAAAAGAAAAAATATAAGAAATATTCTTTAATAATAAAAATTAAAAAAAAAAAAAAACATATCAAAAAGACTAAATATATTTTTAAAGAAAACTAATTTTATTTACATATCTTAATATAGCATTTTTGGCTTAATAATCCTCTTTTCTGAGTTAAATAGACTCCTAGGCTTAGATTTTAGCTAAATAACTATTTAAAATGCTATAAAATTATTAAGTTTGTATAAATAGAAATAGTAAATGCTGTCTTTTTAATAAAATAATTCCAAACTACACCTGCTTAGTTCACTCTTAAATATTCCTTGTTAACACGCAAGATTTCCTGATTAATACAATGTTGTTTTCCCCGAAAATGGTATCTTCCCAGCAAGTGAAAGCTCGGTTTAGCAACTAATTACCCTGCGGCAAGGTCTCGCCAGGCGAATAATATTTTAATTATGACAACTGGCCGCCGCAGGGCCCAAGGCAGCAAAAGAGACGTAAACGGATATGCGGCAATGGCTACCGCATGTGGCTTTCTTAATTGGCCAACGAGACGCGCCCTGGCCCACACTGATAAGCAAATTTGGTACAAAATTTACAACAAAATTGCGAGTTTAATTTGCCGAATAACCCCGTCAGTGTCAGTGTCTGAACTGAGCTGAAATATGCGCACTTTCACCGCCTCCTTGGTATCCCTTTTTTTTTGGCCACATTTGTCGTGCGTCGAAATTAATTAGCCGCACTTCAAGCCAGAGCCAGCCCTCTGCTGCGTAGGTGAGTTGAGGTGTCCGCCGTTGTCATCAATTCATGCGTATTTATTACCATTTATCCACGACTGTCGGCTGATGCGCCACGCCGCCACATCAACATAAATGTTGCACGCCGCGGGTGCAACAATATAACACAACAATAACTATATAAGTGAGGTGAGGCAAAGGCTAGCCTTTAGTGACTGCCGCACGGGAAAGTGCTAAAAAATGAATGGTGGTGCTCGGTTAGGGGAAATAGTTGCCGCCACATATAAACCATATAATCGTGCCGCATCGCAACCACTCATATTCACACCGGGCGCACTCGGTGGCAACAAGGACAATAAATCATCCGACAGGCAGTCGAGTGCAGACAAATTCACTGAAATTTAAATAAAAATCAAAACAAATGCCTAGACAAAACACGAGACCGGGAGTCCGGGGTCCGTAAAAGGCGAAAAAAAGGAGCCTGAAAGGCAGCCGCATCAATATGGAGCATACACTGTGGGGAAATAGAGGTATTTTAGAGGTTTGTTAAATTTAATTTATTGAGAAATGGGTAACATTTAGATTTTAAAAAAGATTATTATTATTATTATATTTAATTCTTAGATACTCAATACTTTTAATGATTATTTCCAGCTTTTCAAGTTGGAAATTTAACCATTTATCCTTGAGAATTTTATAATAATAAAAAGTATTTCGGTATTCCTAATTTCTTTCTCTGTACCCATAAGATCAGGAGTTGCAACAAAAATAACAACAACTCCTCGGCGGCATTATGAATAACTTTTAAATTTGAATGTGAAATAAACGCTTTGTCTAAGCTTTGGCTACCGTTAGCAACATGCTGCTGCTGCAATTGTTGTTGCTGCTGCTGTTGCTGCTGCAGTTACCGGTGATTTATGCAGCAACATTTGATGAAATATAATACAAAAGGCGCACAGCAGCCGCAGCAACAACAAAGATAAATTGCCGCACGCTAAATTGTAAACTATATAAGGTTTAAATGCAAAGTGTGTTGTTCAGTTGTTGCATGTTGCATGTTGCCGGTTGGACGCTGCATGTTTACATAACGGCCATAGCAACAAATGTTGCTGGACTTTTATGGCTTCATTTTAAGCAACATTGATGGTTTAAATAGCATTTTCCAGCAATATTAGGGATCTTTAATATTATTTAGTTACTTTATAATTTGTCTTTTTTGTTTTTACTATCAAATATTGCGAATTCATGCAGCTGCCACTTTAAAAAATATTTATTTTCTTTTATATTTCTATATTCATTGATCAATCACCTTTATTTTCTCACAATTTACTGGTCTTTAATTGCTATTGCACAGTTTGTGTGGTCACAGATCCAGTCAAGGCGATGCACTCGATCTCCACCAGAGCGTCCATTGGTAACTTGGCCACCTGGAAACAACTGCGGGCCGGGAAATCCTTATTGAACACTGAAAAAATGATGATAAGTCAAACAATAAGGCATATAGTATTTATGAAATAATGGAAAAATAACACCAGAATAGCTGTCATAAAATGTTTACAGTAAACAATAAAGACGTCGATAAGAGGGTGCCAACGATGCCGATTGCCTTATCAGGCGGCAATGGCCAAAAGGCCGGTATACTACAGTGGGTAATGGTATATAGACTACAATTTTAATAAAACCAAATTAATGTTAATATTATTAAGGTATTATAGTAAATAATTTAGGCTTTATATTTGAGGGTAAAATCATTACACAATGTTTAAAATGTTTAAAAAATATTTAAGTTCTTAGGTGTTTTTATTTTAAATCTAAGATTATGCTCACCCTTCTTGTAGACCTCATTGACGGCCCCAAAATCATTGAGATCCTTCAGGAAGACAGTGTTCTTGATCACTTTATCCACTCCCGAATCGGCGGCCTTGAGAACAGCCTCAAGATTCTCCAGAGCCTTCTCTGCCTGCTCTGTGGGTCCACCGGGAACCAGCTTCATGGTGTCCTTGTCCAGACCCAGACAACCCGACACATACACTGTGCGATCGGCCACCACCGCCTGGCTATATAAATATTGAAAAATATATCCATTAACTGGATAATTATAGTTTTTATTATATTTAAACTTACTTATAGGGAGCCACTGGCTTGGCAGCATTTGCAGTGCTGATTAATTTCCTCACAATCGTTGACATTTTGAACTTGAAAGATGTTTATATTTTTAGGAAAATGTTGACGAGTGCAGCAGCTGGAAGTGAACTGATCGAAAGCTTTAATTTTCGTTCAACAAGTGTGTTTTTTCTTTATCAGCATTTGCTTTTTACAAGCTCTTTCGTTCGCTTTTATGTCTCTATCGGTGGTTTTCTCCCGCGCAAACAGGTGCTCTCAGCTGTTAAGTCAGATGTTAGAACTGTTAGATTAAATTAGTGTTATATTAGAGGTAAAATATATTCTGTTAGGAATGTAAAAATATTATACATAAGCTAATGTTAATTATTTTATATTGAAATATTATTTGATCCAATTATTTGATTTTTTATTTGCAAAATTTCTTGAATTATTTTGGTTTAATATTTAGGAATAATATAAAAAATAATTAAAATTAATTTACAGATTAAATTCTTATTAAAAGCTTATTTTACAAGGGTCTAATATTATGTAGAATCATTTTTCAGCTTCAAAGAATTTTGTCATACTCTTAAACCCACAATAAAATATCAATAAAAATATTTAAAAGTTATTTTCCCAAGCACAAATTAAATTTTATTTTATTTATTTAATGCTAACTAAAAGTTATAAACTAAAAGTTAACAAAGGTTAATGAGCAATGGCTACCGAGGCCTTCCGCTCTACAGTGTATTACAAATTAAATTTTATTAACACCTCATACCTGACATTAATCAAAATTAAAATAATAATTAAAGTAATAAAAACATTCCACTGCGTTTCAGCCTTAATAACTTAATTAACATTTTTCTGTGAAAATATACATATTAATATTCCGATTCAGAAATTTGGGTCGGCACTCGCTTTCTCTAGCTAAAGGGATACTCATATGTATACATATACAGTGGCTCACAGCTTATTTCGTGCAGAGGTAAACTTGAAATTCAAACTTGTATATCTGACAAACTATAGGAGATATGAAAAAAATTTAAACGCAGTTATGTTTAGTAGGGCTTAAGCATTTATTTAAGCCCTTGATTGTTTTTCAATTCCACTAGATAACGATAAAAACTTTAAAAAACGAAAAATATTGGTTATTTTTATGTCACAGCTTATTTCGTGCAAGAAAGTTTATCTTAAATATTTCGGTTTTGCTTAAACTTACAATTTTTTTGTTGTCTTAACTTTATTTGATGACGTCCTCTAAAAGAGTTTTAATTAAAGAAATCAACTTTTCTGAGGACTCCTTTGGAATCTTGGACCATTCTTCCAAGGGGGCTGTTTTGAGACCATTTTTATAAGATATCGACCTCTTGCGGATGTCCAGATCCAGAATCGCCCACAAAATCTTAAGGACGATAAGGTCTGGTGACTGGGCAAGTGGATTCACCACATTAGGGCAGTTCCATATCAACCTGGTCTGCACAAGAGTCGATTTTTGCTTTGGGTCATTGTCATGGTAATGTCAGGAAATCCGCTTTGGGCCCAATATATCGGCGATCTGGAGCAAGTTATCCTTCCAAAGTTGAAGGTACATATTCTAGCCATATTTCCCTCGATAAAAACCAGGTTTTCAACATCGGTTGCCGCCATACACGCCCAAACCATGCGAGTACCACTACCATGCTTGGCTGTAGGGGATCGGTTCTTGTGGTGAAGCTCTGAATTTGATTGTTTTCAAACATATTGGTCTCGGTCCGACCTCATAAATATTGAATTTGGTCTCGTCTGTGAAAATTAATTCATTCCAGAACGAAATCGAATGAAATTATGTGATCCTTGGCCAATTTAAGCCTGCACTTCGGATTTGTATTGGTTTCGAAAGGCTTTTTCCGGGTTACTCGGCCTTTAAAGATGTGTTCCCGTTATAAACGGCGGACGGTTTCCACGGAATACTTTTAGGCCATTTCATGCCCAACATTTACTATTAGTTTTGTCGCCAAATTTTTTGAATTAACATTAATTTTCCGGATAATTCACCTTTCCTCAAGCTTAATAAAAATTTGGTTAGGAGCATTTCGGCCAATATCTGCCTCACGATTTTCCCGATTGAAGCTTGGGATGATTTACTGAACAGCACTTAGGGTAAGGTTAATTATTTAAGTAATATTTCGCCAAGTTTTTGCATTTTTAAAATGATTAAGGACCAATTCCCGCAGTTCGATAGTCGTGCGGAGCGCATTTTGTTAATTCACAGAAAACTGTATTTTCCTGTGATATGAAAAGCATCGGAGGGATAAATAAATTAGCTGATATCGCCTCCAATGAGTTACAAAAAAAATTAGCTAATTTAAAATAACAATTTACAAGTTATATGTACCCAACGTTTTTGCACGAAATAAGCTGTGACATAAAAATAACCAATATTTTTCGTTTTTTAAAGTTTTTTTCGTTATCTTGTGGAATTGAAAAATAATTAAGGGCTTAAATAAACGCTTAAGCCCTACTTAACATAACTGCGTTAAAATTTTTTTCATATCACCTATAGTTTTTCAGATATACAACTTTGAATTTCAAGTTTACCTCTGCACGAAATAAGCTGTGAGCCACTGTATATATCTTTCCACCAGCCGATATTTGATTTAACGCCATGAAAAATGCAAGCCACGTCACTTAGCCACGCCCCCTGCGCCGCCCTGACTAATTATTTATTATTTGGCAATTGCTGTCTGTCAGTCGCTGTCAGGGCCCAAAAAAGAAATAATAAAAAATAATAATAAAAAGAAATAAGAAGGCAGAAAGAAAGCCCAGACCGAGGCGATCCCGTTTCAGAATCTTTACGCATGCCAAAAAAAAAAGCACCGAAAATATAAGAGGAGAATCACTCTGTAATTATGCGGAGAAGATGGGGCAGAGCATCCTGAAATGTGGCAAAGGGTCTTAATCCCGGACTCCGAGCTTGGGAGCTGCACCCAACTGCAGCCAGCCAGCGTAGGTGCAACCTCAGAGCAAAGAGAACACGCCCCGCGAAACGCCGCCTTAAGATTGATTGTAGACGCTTTGTTGTTGCTGTCGGAGGTGCACTTAAAGAAATTGAAATAAAATAAATAAGATTTTGGAAGTTAAATTCCAGATAAAAATGATCTACCCCAATATAGTATAAAAATATCTCAAACTCTTAAAAATGTCAATATTTTTAATGTAGAAAAATATCTCATTTAATGTTTATATATCGAAATTATCGATAATTATCTAAAAAAAAATTTAATTTAATTTATTTATCTAATTTTTCCATTATCTAAAGAAATCATACATAATGTCTATATATCTGCACTTATAAATATTGCAACATCAAAAGATCGATTTATATATCGAATTTTGCTTTAAACATCAATACACAATCGATATTTTCAGTAAGATCAGATTAGAAGGAATATTATAAAAATATATTAATTCAAATTCCTACAAATTCTTCTCCTTAAATAAATCAATTTAATTTTAATAACTATTTCCCTCAGTGCTTTCTTAGCCAACCCACGAAGATGCCACGGAAATGCTGAAAGAAATTTCTTTTGGCTGCCTTCTGTGCCCCAAGCATTTTGATGTCGCATTTCGGTGCATTAATTACTTTATGATCCACTTTATGATGCATAAAATATGCAAGTTGCAGGATCGGGAAAAGCAATTTCACGAGTCCCCCCCCCCAAACTTCGTGGGTGTTGCAGGAGGGACTCTGGAATCTGTGGGATCCTGCTGGAAACTCAACAAAATCAACATTGATATTAATTAGCCACGGCCCGCGTATTGATTTATAAACACAATTTACTTTGTTTAATGATGGCCCCTGGTCCTGGTCAAACAATTTTACATTAAATGCTTTAATAAATAAAGCTCTAAATAAGCCAAGCGGCAACGAGGAGATGCCATATAATTACTTGGCAAATAACAAATTGCCTCCGCAATGCAGAGAAGGTGTGCACTAAGAAAGGGTTCGGGTTGGCTTCGATCCCTGCGATATGGAAAAGGAACCCTAAAGGGTCCCAGAATATACCAGAGTTCTGCTGGTTGTTGTCTGATATTTATGGCACTTGTTGGAGGTGTATCAAAGGCCTCAATTCAGTCGAGAGCCAACAGGTGTGGACTGTAAGAACTGAAGGTTAAGTAATCTTATTGCCTAAGTTCTCAATTCTTTCTAAATAATAATTTCATTTTATGGTTTGTTATTAAGCTCCCAAGAATCCGTTTAACTTTATAGTTCATAACTAGTGATCATCATTTGTTTTGATCCGCACCTGAATCTTCCAAGATCCTCTCCTTCTATCCCAGGCCCGGGCAACTTTCCCTTTCCGCTTGACATACTCCTGGGGGATGGCTCCCCATCATTTTGCGGATGCCATTTTTTATTGACTCAAATAACTTCATTTGTTTAAGGCTTTATTGGAGCGCCGCTGGCTGTGGAGACCCGATGCTGCTGCTGGGACAGGTCCACGTCCAGGGGTCTCTCTCTCTCTCTCCACGGCGCAAATTACAACGATTTCTCAGGCAAGCCAAGGAGGAGCGGCTGCCACTTGCTCTGGCCTGGCCTGGTTATTGGATACTCTATAATTTGCATGTGATTTTTATGGCTCGCTCGATTTTCATGCTAAGTTATTTGATTTTAATTTGCTGCGTAATTGCTGGCGGAGCAGCAGGAGGAGCTCTGCCAAACTGGTAGCCAGGTTGTTTAGGTCCACCTTCCTGCCCATTAACCGGTAGATTTATGTTTATGGCACTATTGACGCGACTAATCCCAAACACGATATCGGGCTAGTCGATCTTACACAGAAATAGAATGCAGCAAGACGTTTAGACCCAAAAGGGGGTGGACCGAAGCGAAACTCAAGGACGATCCGTGAAAAAACGTAGACTGCAATTAGGCAAAAGGTAATGGTAAGAGGCGGGATGATAAAATATATGATCTGCTGGTTAGACTGTAATTTAAATTTTGTGTTAGGGTTTATTATTGCAAGGAAAGATTGAGGTATTTTGATTGGAATCTAAGGGATTATTTAGATTTTTCTAAGGGTTTTTATAAAGCTAATTAACTGGAAAATTTATTTTTCATATCATAACATTAAAAAAACATTAAAAAAAGCAAACTAATAAACTATTTTTGATTAAAATGACACTGTTTTTTAACAGAGAAATTGCCCAGCCCATTTGCTACCTTTCCATTGGCAGCTT